GTCATGAAGAAGGTGACAGAGAGGTTAGTGAAAACGAAAAAAATTTCGATTGACAAGTTAGTCGGTATTCTCGGCACAGCAATTACGGGACTTGAACAGCGGAACTTTGTAACTGAACAAGAAATTATGTCTGTTTATAGAATTAAAGAGAAAGTATTATCACATAAAACGAAGCAACTTAAACAACTTACATTGAAAGAAATGTTTAATAAAATAAACAGATAAATATTAAGCTTTTTTTTTTTTTGTAAATTTTGGATACCCTTTAGATCATAATTGTTCTTTATTTCATAAATTACGGTTTCATACTTTTAATTTTATAATTTCTGCATGCCATCTTAAGAGATTTAAACTGATGATCTATAATCCGGAAAAATCGATAATCCGGAATCGCTGAAGTCCCGACGAGTCCGGATTAATGACTTTTGACTGTATATGCCTAATCTGACATGCAGTGTCACTTAACTAGAAATTTTTTCTGATTATTTAAAATTTGTTTCAATCAAAAAGAAAAAGTTAATTGATTGATATACTAATTTATATAATGTAGGAAATGAAGATACGAAACTACACTTATATGCGCCCTCAGGTAGCCAAATATTTTTTACGAGAAACTCCGCGCCGCCATATTACCACCTAAACTTTTTGTCTACATTTCGAACTTTTAGCCTGAAATGTCTGCAAAAACCACGTTTTGAACACACAATTTAAGCTAAAAATCCGAAACAAAAACAAAAAATTTAGGTAGCAAAAATGTAAAGTTTCTAACCAAAAATATTTGACAAGAATCCATGTATACAGTGATATGTTATAACTTAAAAAAAATCACAGAATTGCACAATCTATGCAGCGAAGTTATCTACGAACTACACACACCTAGCTTATATAAATTAACATAACAACAATAAAGTTCAAAGAATACCATGTACGCAGCTTTCTGTTTAAACTTAAATCTACGAATTGCACAATCTAGGCAGCGAAGGAATCTATGCATTACGCACACCTCACTTTAATAAATTAACATAACAGCAATAAATTTCAAGAATACCGTGTACACAGTGCTCTGTTTAAACTTTAAAAGCATCTACGAATTGCAAAATCTTGCACTAATCAACAAAACAAACTAAAATAAATTTCAAATATTAAAAAAAATAATGAAAGAAATTTGTACTAAAAAAACAATGAACATAGCATTCTACTAAATAAGAACAAGAATAAAACAAAATGCACTTACCATGAATGAATGCTTCTTCAAACTGCAGAAATACCAATTTCAAACATCACCAAAGCAATTTCACCACAAATTTGTTAAAAGCATCTTCTCTCATTTCAAAACAATGATGGAAAAATATATAAAACTCCAAATAGCATTTCCGATTATAAGTTGGCAACGCACTTTAACACGCCATGTAATCTCTATTGTATTTATATGACAGCCAGACTCACTATCCACAAAATTGATACTGTATTTCACAAATAAATATTCAAAACCTTTTTCTTCTAAATACTTGTAGAATTTCCAGCAACCCGAAAAATTAGTTGTACCAGGCATGTGACTAAAATTTTGCCAACACATCATAAATCACTTAATTACCACATGAACCAACTAGCAAATCCAAGTTTCCACACAACACATATCGCCGCATTTGGCAACCTTGGGGCGCATATGAGAGTAGAGCCAAAGATACATTATTTTAGTTTTGAAATTTCACTATTAAGTGTATTAATTTCTAATATTTAATTTTACTGACAACTGGAGCTTAAAACCAAGATCATATTTGCTCTTTTCTATACAAATGCGTTATATAGAACTGTACAAAAATTGAACACTGAAATATGGTGTTAAAATTGAGATCTGCAAGATTTGCATTTATTTTGACATTTATTTTATTTATGCAAACATTTTTGTGAGCTAAATGTAATTAAAGCTGCTGTTTGCTGGTAAAGATTATTATCAAAGAAAATCTTTGATGATTGATGGCAAAAGTCGAGTGCATCACGAGTTGTAGCGTGGAGAGTCTCAAGAGTACGTTGAGTTCCGAAAACGACCAAACAGAGTCGGGAGCTGTGCTGTAGTGCTTTGCCATGAAGCTGTGTTCACCGTTACAGCCTGATGGCTGGAGTCTCAAGAGTCTTGAATTCGGAGAATGACCGAACTGAGTCGGGAGTAGAACTCTGGTGCTTTGCCGTGAAGCTGTCTTCACCTTTATAGCCTGAAGGCTGTGTTGCTGATTGTTTCAGCGTGTTTGTAGTAGTTTTTCGATGACAATAAACACGATTTTGGAGATGTCCTGAGTAATATTGGCTAAATAAATTGTGTTTTGATACTTCATCAAGTGTCGTCGTTAATCACTGCAAATCCACGAATCCGTGAAGAGCATAACAATATATTTAAAGATAGTATTGAGTACTTTTCATCTATGTTAATAGCTACTGGAACTACCCTAGTTTATGGTATTCATTTTATTAGTTACTAAGTACCAGTTGTACATAAAACTCGATGACTGAACAAGAGAAGAGTAGTGTGAAGTTAGTTTTGTGTGTGGGGTGGGAGGAACCAAAGGGTTTTTTGTTATTGATATTTATAAAAGAATATTTCCTGTTTATAGAAAGAAGCATATGTTACCTAAAGCTGTGCACAAGTGGTTCAAGAAGTTTTCTCATTGCTCCTCCAAAGTTCAAAATGAAAACTAAAGTTCCATTCAGATAAACTTGACAGAGCAAAGAAGAGTTGATTTGTGAAATGTGCTGTATGCAATAGTAACAAAATAGTAGTAGTACTTGCTCCTCTAAAAAATTTTTTGGAGGCTAATGCTTTGCTGATGAATGATGTTCAAGCTGTGACTGAAACAGCAACCCAAAGAATTTTTGCAGCTGGATTGGAGTATTGTTAAACCTTTGCGGCACAGTGTGTCCGGTCTGGACACACCTAAAAATTTCCTTCTGTACGCTCAGAAAAATTGAATGAAAAAGGATTTATAGGTTACTCTGAACCTTCTTTATTTATAGTAGATGACAGCTGAACAGAAACCAGTACATATATTTTAGCCATGTTTAGTTTTCTAAGACCCTCATTTTTCAAAGAAATCTTCCAAATTTTTTTTAGGGTATAAAAGCAATTGTTTGAAAAGAAATGGCTGTATGCCAATCTCCTTATTCTATATTAGTTTTAAATTTTTACCTTGAAATCTTGCCTAAAATCAAACGGTGATCCCTAGGTGTGACCAGACCGGGCTCACCGATAATCTAGGACAACTGAGAGTCTTTATTCTTTGTTTCTCCTCATCTCATCTGTCAAGTCATTGACAACAATGCTCATTTCAGTGCTCTTTTCGAAGCTTTATTCAATCAGTGTATTGGGCACACCCACAGAATTAAATGATAAGTGCTATCCTCACAAAATTTTACTTATGTGCTCCTCTAGGCCTAATTAGACTGCCTACCTTTTTTTTAAAATTTTTTTTTAAAATCAAAACTTCAACTTTAAAAGGTAGGGTGCAGTGTGGGGGGGGAAGCGAGAGAAGTGTATAAATAATTATGAAGATTATATTGAGAAACAATGTAATACAGATAAGTAGTTTTCAGATGAGTATGTTGTCAAGTAATTTTGTTATTGCCTTTTTTTTATGTATTTATTTACTTACCTTCCTAAATAGGTAAATAGTTTTTAATATTTTTATCTCCCTTTTATTCTCCCTCCATGGATGATAGTTTTCTGTGGTAATTTAATAACATTGCTGGGAAATGCCCAGCAGCTGCTCCCTGCAAAGCTGGTCAAAACAAAGCTCCTTCAGCATACCCCAGGTAGCCTGCTGGCTGAGCTGCCTGAGTCAACATCAGGCTTGGGGTTGCCAGAAAGTGGCAGGGAAAGGCATGGTTGCCAGATCTGGCACAAAATTGCCCAATTGGCGATGTTTGGCAACATAATTGCTAATATGTTGTAGACCGAGTGAGACCATTCTAGAACACATTTTTAGCGGTTTTCTCGGGAATATTCTTGAAGGCAAATTAAAACCATATATACCCTGCTTATCCGGGGAGAAAGATATCTTCATTTTTGGTCTCGTCCAAAAATGGACTCTACGTTGCACTGTCAGATTTCCTTTGCCAGTTTTTCCTTGTTTTTCCCTTAAGAAAATGTAAAATATAGTGGTAAAGCCCTAGTTGTCGTACACCACTTAAGAAGTGAAGACCAAGACCAGGGAAGGAGAAAGTGTAGTGTCTTGAGATTAGCTTGGGAGTGATTGACCGAATTTGGAGCTGTACTTTTAGAGCTTTGCTGTGAAGCTGTCTTCACCATTATAGCCTGAAGGCTGTGCTGCTGATTGTTGCAGTGTGTTTGTCATAGTTTTTTGACAAGTGTAAATGTGTCTTTGGAACTGTCCTGTATAATAGTGCTTACTGGAGAATAAATTGTGTTTTGATTCTTTATCAAATGTTAGCATCAATTACTCCAAATCCACAAACCCGTAGAATAGAATGCAACAATATGTTAGTTTATCTTCCTATAGTCAACACCCATTCTTTATATCAACTTCTTACCTTCCATAGAAAAGAAGTTGTTACTATAATCGAGGTAAGTTTAATGAACTCTCATAACGACTTCTTGCATTGTTTATTGTAATGGAGCATTTATTACATGTAATCATTATAATGAGCATGAACTGTATATTTTGAAATATATACTTTAAACATATTTGTATTTATTCAGTATTGATTTAATTTGAACATCTTCTTTTTGGATTCTTGTTTTTGTGTAACAGTATCAGATTAAAAAAGGTGTTAAGTAAATCAGTATTTACTTGAAATTTCAACCAATTTAAACATGATATAGTTTAAATTTGTGAAATGACATACAAATTCCTCTTGAGTGTTTCTTTTGTTTCTCAATTTTAATTTGTTTTTTTTTATTGTATTTTATGTCTTTCCATTCTTTTGTTTGTTTATAAAAATTTATTTAAGCATAATAATTTGCATTATTAAATGTGCTTCCTTTTTAGATTGGCCAAAAAGGAAAAAGACCTTGCAAATGCAGAAAAGCAGCTTAAGACATCTGAGATTTTGAACCAAGATCTGCAGAGGAGAGTGAATCAGCTGTCTGCTGAAAATAGAAAATTAGAAACTCAAGTGAGGGTATGTGATGCTTGAAAGCACTAAATTTACAGTTTAATCTGACTGAATAATGATACCCATTAAAAAACGTTTTTTAGGATAGACTGTGTAATATCAAATAAATATTAAAAGTAAGATTAAAAAGAAAAGTAGTACTCTTTCACTATTTGTGTAATTTATTAAGGCAGTTTTTCATTATCCACATCTTTGGTTTCAACATTCACTAGACTTGCTTTGTTTTCGATTTTTTAAGTATTACATGTGATGATAGCGAACACTTGCATGCATGTACCTCACATTTGTTTGAATACACATAGATTTATACACTTTATATTTAACTTTTTTTCGCTCATCAGTGTTCTTTTTTTTTTTTTTTTTTTTTTTTTTTTTTTTTTTGTTTGTTTTGTTTGTTATAATGAATTAATTGTAAAGGGACACTGTAATTTATTGACTGATGAGAAAGGAATTATATGATTTATGAACAGAGCAGTACCTATGAGGCATAAAGGACTTTTTTTAGGCATGTGAATAATCAGAAAATATCTTTATTAATTTGCCATATCATTATATAGTAATTCTGTGAATAACACAACTGAATGCTGATGGTTTTGTTTAGGATTCCATTTCTGTGAAAAATCATAGCTGAATATATTTGAGTAGTTTTTTCGCATACTTATCATAAGCATTAACCAAATTTTCTGTAGAAGTTCTGATTCAGAGATTGTTTTTCTGAGGCAGATGTTTCTTGTATGTTTTGCTTTTATTAATTATACATCATCAAACCTGATATACTTTGCTGTTTTCAGTATTTTAAATATCATATATTATGTTAAATTGTTCTTATAATATGTAATATCTTATTTCATATAGATATATATATAGATATATTTAAACAAATTTAAATTTAAATTTTAACAAACACGTATAAAAGTAAAAAAAAAGAAAAAAAAAAAAAAAGCCATATATATATATATATATATATATATATATATATGGCTTTTTTATATATATATATGTAATTAAATTTATTTATATAATTAATATTATTTAAATATATACAGTGTAGTTCAAAACTATATGTCAAAAATTTATAGGTAGGTAGAAGGGACCTGAATAAGCAGATTTCATATAGGAATGTGTTACGATAATGCCGCATTACAGCATTAGTGCATAAAGCAGTATGAATTGCAGGAAAATGAACAAAAAAAAAAAAAAAAAAAAAAAAAAAAAAAAAAAAAAAAAGCTTGAAAGAGTGGCCACCAACAGCAATACAAGATTCACAGCGGTGGTGCATGTTTGGTTCCTTGCAGTCTGCTGTAGGTACCAACAGGCAAAGTTGAGACGAGGAAGATAATCCTCAGGGATCATTGCTTGCACTCTCTGTAAATGATATAGATTCATTCCATCTTCATGTAAAGTGCTCAAAACAGTTGTATGACTCACACATAATGCAGGTCCTGCAGCTCTCAAGCTTGATGAAGGATTATTCCCTACTATGCTTAGTATTCTTTTTTTCCACTGCAGAAGTTCTGTGATATCTTACAATCATGCCTGGATGCATAAGATGATTCACTCGTGCTCCCGATGAAGATGCTCAAAAGTTCTATGGTCTGGCTGATTCCTACTGGAAATTGCTTTCTATACATCCTTTGAGCAGCAGCTAATCCATTTCCTTGTGCAGCCTCATACATGAAATTCATGTCGGCAAGTTCCGCATTGGGTTAAAGATGCATGCTGCTTGAGATCTGTGCAGAAAGTGAAAAATCCAGCTAGCTCAGCCCTTTTATACGCCACACTAATCAGCACTTTCTAGTGGCTCAACGTGGTATTACCGCACCCACATTCCTATATGAAATCTGCTTATTTAGGTCCCCTCTACATGTCTTTACATTTCTGACATACTGTTTTGAGCCACCTTGAGTATTTATATACAGGTTGGTTGTTATAATAATAATAATAACCCTCTGCATATGGCTATTATAAAATATTGGGGGTTAAATATTGTATGGTATTGTAATCAAAATTTATTGAATATCTTTAAATCCTTTTTTAGGACCTTCAGGCTGAAAATGATAACTTAACTAAGCAAGTTAATTCCTTGAAGAAAGAATTAGATGACGAAACATTGACTAGAGTTGATTTGGAAAATCGGCTTCAGAGTGCAAAAGAAGAGTTGTCTTTTAAGGAATCTATTTATCAACAAGTAAGCAAAATGATTTTATTTATCAGTAAACTTTTATGAAATAAAATTAATTCTGCAAAGTATAATAGATGTCAAATTAAAAAGCACTTGTGTATTAAATAGTAGCCACCGATGCATTGGTTAAAATATAACCTCTTCTGATGCCTGCAAGTGTTTGACAATCTTAGTAGCCATTTTAGATTTTTATAGAAATTGAATATTTTTCCCTTTCCCCTCAGATAATTCTCAAGATTGCATTTGTTCATCTCATGTTAATTTTTCTTACATTTAATACATTTGCTAAGAAATGGAGGACAGGCTATCTGTTATTTCCAGACATACGATATTTTTCTAGAAAATTATAAGGATTCCAATTCTTATAATTGAAACAAAGTGTTAGAATTGGGAACTGATGAAGAGAAGCCATTTATCTTCTCGTTTACGAAATTTCATAAAGAAGAAGAGACAGGCTGCAGAGAATAAAAATCTGGTGTAATTTTTAATGCAATTGCCAAATAATACTTGCAGGAAATAAAAAAAAAAACCTGTTTATCACCAAAATATGCCTATAGATTGTTGTTGTTTATCAGGAAGTACTGGTTAATACATAAGTATGGAATAAAAATATAAACAAATATTTAAGCAAGTTTTAATAACTATGGGAAGTGTTTTGATTTATTTTCATAAAACTGCTAACCTAACAATCTTATCAAAATCGAAATAAAATTATTTACTTGGTTAAATGGGTACTTTTCCATTTTGCTGGCACAAGCAATAAAGTTGCCAAAAATGGTACAGCCGATGCCAAACGGAAAATCCTCGCTGGTAATCTTTTACGCCTCCGTTTCAAAACAAGTCACAGCCATTTCTTATCAGATTGATTGTTTCTTTCTGTACTGGCATACAATTATATAGCATTTTTACCAGACAGTTCAATTTTATACCCTAAAGCCCATCACTCACCCAAAGGCGAAAATGTAAAAAAGTCAAATTCATCAATTCTTATGACATTGTACTAGCAAAGTAAAGCACTCTGGTTTTTTACATAATTTCTGAGTAAGCTATTCGTACGAATTGAAATAATTCTTGTATTTAACTTCAAATTAATGTAGATAATTACTGAGAGAATTAGATTTTTGTAGTGTAGTTTACGTGAGATGAGATCACTTTGAGTCAGATGATAAGAAACTGCCAATCAGGATGTGTAGCATGAAAGCATAGTAAATTCTTAAATTAATGTCTTTTTACAAATTTATTGTCTTTATTTATTGTCTCTTTACAAAATTTTAAGAAATATTAAAATGTGTATGCCTTCAAAATAAAAATTTCTTAGAACTAACATTTGTTAAAATTTTTTATGTGTATACTGTGTGTTGTCACCAATAAAGTCTGCTTGGCGAGATTTGTGCCGGCAAAATGGAAAAATATCTTTAATTGTATTATAAATTGTGAAGAAGTTTTGTTTCACATCTAAACAATTCAGAATCATTTTAAGATAGGCTAACATACAAGTGCGAAATTTTTTCCATATTAGTATGAAAAGCAATTTTGAATTTAAAAATTCCTAAAATTTTTGGAAAAAATTTGCTATTAAGAACTCTGAATCCAAAATTTCATATGTAGCTGAAGTTTTATCATTTGGCTTCCCCACCCCTTTTTTATATGCACATTCTTTGGATGAGGCTGTTTAAAAAGGAATATTTGAAATACATGAGAAATATATGAGACTTATATATTAAAGATACTTTAGCAACAAGATTGAGCATAAATTGCACAAATTTTTCAAGACTAGTTTCGAAGGTTTGACCCTTTGCATATGGCTTGATTTTCAGACTTTCCTGTTCTAAAATATGTAATGATTTTTTCTTACTTCTTTATAAACAATTTTTAAATAATAAAAGAGTTTTAATTGTATTTTGAGGTTTCAAATCATAGCTAATATGGCACATGTGATTTCAGCAGACATAATTTGCAAGTTAAAAAATTCACATAATTTTTTTGCTTTTAGGTAAATTTAATTTTTAACAGTTGTTGCAAAAATTTTTATAGGTATTTAGCAATAAAATAGAATATATAATTTGTAAAAATGAAAAATCAGTTTTGCTTTATATTAAATTACATACATACCAAACAGAGAAATATTAAAAATGAAAAAGTTTTAATTATTCATTAATATTATCAATTGTTTATATTGAGCAAGACCCAGATGTCCAGTATCTGGAATGATCTAAAATCTGGACCTCAAAGTCACTAACAACCTTTTTTTCTTTGTATGCTTTATGCATGCGCAATTGATGTTCCCCCCATAATAAAACATGTGGAGAGTTCTGATTCTTAATTTCACTTCGGCACTAAATAAAATTCCTAGTTATTGAAGAAACAGTCATTTTAGCATAAATTTATGTGATCAATAATTTGGTTCTGTAGCTGCATATCTGCTTGCATACACCTAAAACCGAAGCATTCTACATAGAAACATCATTGATTTTACACTACTAATATTTTATATCCCTGATGCCAACCTGGTGTAACATTATTATATTTTGTTTTTATCACCGAATGTTTATCAACACATGATAACTTGAATAATGACTCGTACAGCGACGCCTGAATAATTTTTCATAATAGTAATTGAATAGCAAAAATAACCTTTTATATTGACATTACGCTTGGTGATGAACAGTTTTAAGTTGAATGCGCTAAGAAATGCTGATGAGGAAAAATTTAACAAAAATTTCTTTCTATATTCTAAAAACAGATATTTTTAATGATACTCATAGACCAAAAGATCATATTTAGTGCTCTTTGATTTAAGAATAACTGATTTATTACTCACATTAACACAGAACCCGCACCAGAGCTTGTATGGCCACATAGTTAAGGGACGGCAGAATCTGCAGTATGGTTCTAGATCCGGAAAATACCACTACTGATAGTGAAGAACGAGACAAGAGAAGAAGTAAAAGATTTCGATTGATCTGTTAGTTGGAATTCTCAACAGACCAATTATAGGACTTTAACAAAGTAGAACTTTTTAACTGAAAAATCATGTCTGTTTAGAATTAAAGAGAAAGTATTAGCACAAAAATCAGAGCAACTTAAACAACTTACATTGAAAGAAATGTTTAATAAAGTAAACAAATAAATAGTAAACCCTTTTTTTTGTAAATTTTAATACTCTTTAGATCATAAATGCTTCATCGTTTCATAAATCATGATTTAATATTTTTAATTTTTACATGCCATCTTACTTGATTTAAAGGGGTGAACTAATATCCAGAATCGCCAAAGTCCCGACAAGTTCGGATCTCGGACTTTGTACTGTACTTAGAATCATGGCTTCAAATATAATCCAAACACTGTTCACACCAAATCTTTATATAATATCTGTCTATTTTTATCTTTCTTGAAGCAACACACATCATACTGTCTTCTAGGTTCCTTTTTCGTAGGATTTGGTGGTATCTGGCTGACAAAATGCTTGTCTACCAGGCAAATACAGTGCATGTCTGGAATGTTTTGGTAAACAAATTCAAAGCTTTTATGCAAATTCTTTACATTAAAATGGACTCTGTAGAATCATTTAGCATCAAAATAACAACACTATGAAATTAAGGGGGGAAATCTTTGCACATGATTTTCGCAGGAGCCATAGTAGCAAGCAAATTTAAAAACCCTACTCAGATCATGGGAGCGTTACATGGAGGGTTAATAGAATTTCATCTTAGCTACAGGAGTGAAAAATGATGAAAGGGTTCCACCTAAGGAAAAGAACAATGATATTGGTGACATCTATTGACAAAAAGGAAGAGCTACTATAAAACAATTTCTTAAAAAGCTGAAGATGAAAATGGATTTGAATTTAGTGAAGAACTGCAAATATTATGGGTAAGAGAAAAATGGCATGAAAATTGAGATTTTCTTAAGTGTAGCCAGTTTTTTTTTTTTTTTTTGGCTAACTGATGGGGGAGGGGAAGGAATGAGTGCTGAATTTTTACATTCTCTCAAAATGAAAGAATGCTTTTTATTTATGTTCAGATGAAATTTTTTTAACTGCTTGGTCAATAATATGAGGTGACAAAGCCTCTGTTATGTTACTTATATGTATTATTGTAGTATTTTGTAACATTTATGAAGATAGCAAAAATTTATTTAATGCAATCACTGTTTAATACAAAGGCTTTAAAAATGATTTGATTAAGTCACTCCTACAAAATATTAATTTCTGTTGTATATTGATATAGTATAAATTTCTTTTTTATGATACAGTTCATAACTATGAAATTTAAAAGTTTTATGGTGTTTTGAAAATAGATTTTATTTCACATGCTGTGAGTATGACACAATTAACTTTCTGCCAGAAAAAATTTATTCATATTGTATGTCGTATTTTTATTCGTCATGCATTTAGTTGCTGCCCAGAATGCCTGGAATTTTACCCTTCAGAGTATATAATAAATAGTTGTTGGCCAGCAATATTTTTTAACTTGAAATTGTTAATATTATTGAAAATTTTAATATTCTGATTTTTCACCACAGTTATTGGTAACAACAACAAAGAAAAGGTACACCCATTTAAAAGGTTAAACCTTAAATTAAAAAAGAAAAGTGTCTGCCATAAATGTGCTAATCATGATGATTTTACATTGAACTGTTAACAAAATTCATTAGTGAAACATAAATGGCCTGCTGTAGGAAAAAGGGGATGAAGATTATCTATTATTTTCTCATCTGTAGCTGATTGGGTCTTACATTGTCTGTGCCTGTCTAGCCCAATGCTGAAAATCAAATGTCTTTCCTAAACTACTAATTTAAGTTTTTCAGAAGCCTGAAATTTAAGCCATTAACTGCCAAAACTACAAGAAATGTTTCTTTTGTCATGGGTTACAGCCAAAAACATCGCGGAGAAAACAACGCAAGGCAAAAACGTCGTGCTACAAAACATCGTGGGAGAAAACATCGCAGTTCTAAAACATCGTGGTACAAAACATCGTCGTCGAAAATAAAGCAGTTCAAAACTTTGCAGTTTAAAAACATCGTCGTCGAAAATATCGTGGTAAAAAATAAAGTATCTACAAATCATCGCATGACGATAGCATCGCAGACATGCTTCTTTCAGGCTTTAATAACTGCAAATGGATATTCCCATATTGATTTGTGATCGCAAGATGGAAAGAAGGATAATTTTTACTTTCATACTTTTTATTAACTAATAAATTTTTGCTGAGAAAATAAGAATGAAACTTAAGCATAGAAAATTAATGCAACTTATAGCACTTAGAATTTTAAACTGACATAGTTAACTAACAAAGGCCATTAATAAATCATTTTTATAAAGTTTTTACTGGTAATTTTTCATGAAAAGTATAATCTATAATTTGCATTTAATTTTTTATGCTTAAGTTTCCTTCTTACTTTTTCAGCAAACATTTATTAGTTAATAAAATATGTGAAAATAAAAATTATCCTTCTTTACATACTGCGCTCACAAATCATTATGGGAATATCCATTTACAATAATTAAAACCTGAAAAAAGTATGTCTACGAAGTTATCGTCATGCGATGATTTGTAGATACTTTATTTTTTACCACGATATTTTCAATGACGATGTTTTTATACTGCGAAGTTTTTGAACCGCTTTATTTTCGACTACTATGTTTTGTAGCACGATGTTTTAGAACTGCGATGTTTTCTCTTTGCGATGTTTTCTCTCACGATGTTTTGTAGCACGACATTTTCGCCTTGCGTTGTTTTCTCCGCGACGTTTTCGTCCTCGATGTTATCGGCGGACACCTTTGTTATGAAAATAATAACAAATATTAAATTAAGCATTTATAACATAAATTTACATTGAAAATTTAAAAAAAAATGCTCTTGCGTGTAGAAAAAGCGAGTGTTGCATTCGTGCAACGTCAGCCGAATAAGACTACGGATGTTTAGTGAGTAGGATTGTATTCGTGTGATGTTTCTTTTGAGTGGAGCGCAGATTACGTTTTAGCTGTATAACGTTTAATAAATCTACAAATCACTTTACTTGTAATTAATTTAATATTAAAATATACATTGTATTTCTTTTACAAATACAGATTATTTCATTTGAAAGATTCAAGCATGAAAAGCTTGATTACAATCATGATGTAAAGCTACATTACATACTTTGCATCTGTAAACAGTCTGGCTATGGTACTCTTTACAACAAAGTCTTTTGTTATCAACGGACTTTACGATAAAATGTCTACCATCTCCATGCAATGGCTTTTGAATGCCGAATTTACTAGGGCTTCCTGTTGCTGATCTATTTCTGGCTAATTCTACACTCTCAATAGGAGTTTGCAAGAGGAATAATGCATTCTCGCTTCTGAAATCTAAAAATGAAAGAATGCTTTTTTATATATCCAGTAGTAAAAAGTGGTGATATTTAATAAGTTTAGGTACAGTCTCACCTCATATAATTTATCAGTATTGTCAATTTGACTATTGTCAAATGCAAATTCTGCTTCATATTCCTGTACTGCAAATGTGATATCAATTCTCGTACAACAGGAACAGAAATGTCCTTATCAAAAGACCAATACATTTTTTCTTGAGGTAAAGAATGACATCCTGTAAGCAATAACATTCCAATAAATCTTCTCATATAGGCTTCAGATGCAATAAATTCTTTTTTTTTTTTTTTTTTTTCCCCTGAGCGTATATATTTGTCTGTTCAACGAGAAGAGAGTAAATGTCTAAACCAAAAAGAAAATCGAAAATTTGTGCAGTAGTTTTACCTTGTGTTTTGTCTTTTATAATTTCTCTTCTATCTCTTTCTTCATGTTCTTCCTGAGACATAACTAACAGTTCCTTTTTTATCCACTTTAAGATTTCAATCTTCTGCTTTTTAAACTTTTTAGTGTGACTATAACTGCTTTTAGAAGGCTGAAACTTACTTATTACGTAAATTTCAACTTCCCCAGCAGTATCATTTGGTAAAATATCATTACCATTATTTAAAACATTGCCATTCCTTTTTTCTTTCATCACAAGCCTCTGTAATTTCTGGGGGAACAACCAGTTTCATTCTGGTCATCATTAACATTTTCATTATCTGTTTCTTCATCAAAAAATCTTTGAAGGGCTTCTTCTAATATAAGATACCTCGTTCTAGGCATTTTTAAACAACCAGAACATGAACCAGAACATCGAAAGGAATGAGTGAAAAAGGAGATTAACTACCCGTTTCCTACTGACGTAGCGTTGCGTTAGCACAACACCTGTTTTCCTTTCCTTCCCAACACAAATATAAACATCTGACTGATGTAATGTTCTGATAAACGGTGACCTTGACTAAAATAGATCACTCATAAAAACGGCGATTCCTTCCTTAAATATTTTCAGCAAAAATACCTGGTCGAAAATTTTGCATGAGTATGAGATTAATTATTATAAACAAAATGATTGTTGAAGGCAAATATTTTTTACAGAAATAATATTCATAATATTTCCTACACAAAATCATCTGCTGGTATAAAATATCTTAGGTAGTTATATTTATATACGCATTTATTTTGACCGTTGCGTCAACGCAACACCAGCGGCTAATGGGTTAATAAAGTGAGCATTTGTGAAGCATGGCATAATTTTTAAATGCCTGGGAGATTAATTCTTAAATTATTAAGCTGATCATAACCGTTTAGCTTTAATTTTTTTGACTAGATTGTTTGAAATGTTGATGACTAGATTGTAATTTTTAAAAACTTAATAATTTTTATATTTAAATTTTTTAAATGTTGAAGAACTTTTAAGTAAAGGTTTTGAAACTGTTATAGCAAACTCTTTGATGTGGTAATCTGCAATTTTCACATAGCTTTTTAATTTTTCTCTTAATTTTTTTCTTTCTCCCTTTCCCTTCTAGTTATAGATGTAACTCTGTTTTTTTGCTAAAAATGGATTATTTGAATAATGAAATCAGTATATAAAGTATTTGAACTGAATATATTTTACAGGAAATTACTGAAACCAGACGCTTGAAAGAGACTGAAATCACTGAGCTTAATACTCAGCTGGCCGAGAATTATGAACAAAAGTTAGCAGATACCTTGAGAGAATTGAGAGAACAATATGAAACCCAAATGCGCATGAATAAAGATGAAATTGAAACTATCTATGAAACTAAGGTAATATTACATCATGTATTATTTGATTAAATTATTCTTGTTTCATGAAAATCAAGTAGCGTTTAAGTAATGAAAGAATCTTTTTATTTTAATCAGCAAACCTTTTTAAAAATACATTTCAGGTCTTTGTAAGAAAAAGGGGACAGAGAATTAGTATTCAAAACTATTTAAGAAATTCAGACTTAATTTTTTTTTTTTTTAGAATAACGAATATGTGGTATTATTTCTTAAATAATCTTAAGTTACCATTACAACCATGACATTAAACATGTCTCAGCTCAATCAGTTTAAAAAAACTGCCCCCAAATTTTTTATTTTTAATCACAGAATTTGAAAGAAAATTTAATTTTTAGGTAAATTATGGGCAGAAAATCATTCATATGTCAAAAATAAAATACAGTACAAAGTCCAAAACCCGGACGTCCATTATCTGGAATGATCTAAAATCTGCACCTCAAAGGCAACTTACTTAACCTCAAAGGCACAAACATTTTTTTTTAATGTTTTACACATGTGCAATTGATTTTTCCTTCCATAATAAAACATGTGGAGATTTTCGCTTAAAAATTCCGATTCTTAATTTCACTTAGGCACTAAATAAAATACCTCGTTATGAAAAAAAAATCATGTAAACATAAATTTGTGGCTCTGTAGCTGAGTATCTGCTTGGCTTGCATCTCAAACGTTCTGTTCCGTTCACCACTGTTTGCTGCGCTTACCGAAACATTCACCTATTTTATATCCCTGACGCCAACCAGGCGAGTCATTATTTATTATATTTTGCTTTCATTACCGCATGTTTTTCAATACATGACAACTTCAGTAATAACTCATGCAGTGATGTCTAAACTTTTTTCTATATTAGTCATTGAATAACAAGAGTATGGCAACCTTTTAAACTAACATTACATTTGGCAATGATTATAGATTTTTAAATGCTGTAAGAAATGTTGATGAGGAAAAATTCAACAAAAATTTCTTTTCATATGCTAAAAATAGATTTTCTTAATGAAACTCATAAGCCAAAAGATTACATTTAGTGCTATTTTACTTAAGAATAACTGATATGTTATTCACTATAAACCCAGAAGTGGCGGCAGATTTTAGGAAAGATGAAGTTTTTGGAATTTGGGGAAGCACCGAGCGGCAAATTAAGGGATGAGAAGTTTTTTATGATGGACTTATTGTCCTCAAATACCTTAATGGGTAGTTTTTGAGTTATTCCAAAATCTTTAAGGAGATCTAATATCCATTTGAGTTCTTGAGCAGTAGTGGCTGCAAAAATAAGCTCGGATTCGGTAGATGATAGGGAAACACAATTTTGTCTCTTTGTGGACCAAAATATTGGACTATTTCCTAAGAAAAATAAATTTCCACCTGTTGATCGTCTGGTGGTTAAATCAGATGCATAGTCAGCATCTGTATAACAGGAAAGTGTGGTGTGTTATCAGAGTCAATTTTTAGGCAAATGTCCTTCGTAGAGTTGAGGTATACAATCACTCTTTGAACTGCTTTCCAGTCCTTCTCATTTGGAGATTCATTTTTCCTGCTTAATAGATTCACTGCAAAAGTAATGTCTGGTCTGGTTACAGTGGCTATGTATAATAAGGCTCCAATGCCTTGCCTGTACTTCGTATTGTCCACTGGTGGAGAGATGTCCTCTTCCTTTGGATAAGAAGTATCCATCGGTGTATAAGATGGTTTGTGGATATCTGGACAAAATATCTTCTTCAATTTTTCTATTTTTGATTTTTGACTCAACAGAAACTTGTCTTCATCTCTTTTGATGTTGATTCCTAAGCAGTTTCTAATTTGTCCTAAATCTTTTGCTTCAAAGAATTCATTGAGAGATTTGATTAGCCTTTTGATTTTTTCTTCACTTTTGCATGCTATAAGGATATCATCGACATAGACAATAATCATTATCGTGTCATTTCCGTCTTTCTTTAGAAATAAGCATGGGTCTGCTGTACTTTGCAAAAAGTTACTATTCTTTAATACTTCTTCAACTTTTTTATTCCATGCTCTGGCAGCTTGCTTTAATCCATAAATAGCTTTTTTAAGTTTGCAAACCTTCTCTTCTTGTCCAGGTTGAACAGTGCCTTTTGGCTGTTCCATGTATATTTCTTCTTCTAAATTTCCATGCAGAAATGCTGTAGTAACGTCTACATGCCTCACATGCATTTTACCATATGCTGCGACAGCAAGAAAAGTTCTGATAGTTGTATGTCGAACTACTGGTGCAAAGGTATGATCGTAATCAGTTCCAAGTTTTTGACTATAACCTTTAGCAACTAGTCGCGCCTTGTAACGAATGACTGTTCCATCTTCGTTTCTTTCAGATTGAAAATCTATTGACAGCCAATAGGTTTCGTTCCTACAGGAAGATTAACCAGTTCCCAAGTTTTATTTCGGGATAAGGAATTGATTTCTTCATCAACTGCGAGTAACCACTTTTCCTTTTCTTCGAAATTTAATTTATCTAAGTCTTTAAAATTCTCAGGAATGGTTTTGTGTTTGTTAGGAATCCTAGTCGTTCTGGTGGTATTCCCTTCGTTTTCCTTTCTGATCGTCTTGGCTCTTCTTTGAATACAATTTTGTGTTTTTCTTCAGTTTCTTCATCACCTTCAACATCTTCAACCTTTGGATGAAGAGAAACTTCAACATTTTCATTCGCTGATAATTCTTCAACAAATTTTACACTTCTACTGATAATTATATGGTTTTCACCTGTGTAGATTCTGTACCTCTTTGATCGTTGATCGTAACCGACAAAAATTCCTTCAATTGCTTTCTGGTCTAATTTTTTATGGTTTTCCTTATGTACATATGCATAAGTTGTGCAACCAAATTGTTTCATGTGAGCTAAATTAGTTTTCTTCCGCTCCATAATTCATAGGGAGTCTTATCACAAGCTCTGGTTGTAAGGTGTTGCTCTGGATGTAATTTATAATAATACGATGCAGATTTAAACACAAATAACATATTTATTGAACTGCAACTAAAATAATATAAGCGGTAAATACATTAATGTTAACACAAGCACATACAGAAGCTTAATAATAACTAAAGAACAAGAGGATGATGGGATATATTAATATTACGTGATTAACATAGTTGACGTGTTTGACGCCCGTGTGTCTTGGCATTTTTAGGGTTACCAGAAATGAGTTAGAAAACATTTTATTTATTTATTCTCAAATGCTTGATTATTTACAACACGGTGAAAATTTAGAACTTAGGAAGGCGCTTTGTAGCAGAATTTAGGACCCATAGAGACTGCACCATGCAGTATTTAGCACTGGCCCTAGATTTAAAGCGTTAAGTATATGTGGGAGTTTATTTATTCAAGACTCAGATTAGTTTTAAGCATGTGCAAGAAATAAACATAGGTATAGTAAATAACTAAACTAATATAATTCAGGCTTAATTCAATACGCAATGGGAGCAAGACAAAATTTAGTGAAACAACTTGGCTTTCGTCGCCAATCTTGTGATACACAGTCTATAATGTATCACAGATGCTATTAAGCTAGGCTAAAATTATCTTTACTGATTCTAAGGCATTTCAGTTAATGTAGTGGACTGCACTGCTCCCTAGTCTTTTAGTTTAATCCAGCTTATTATTTTTTGCAGAATGTTGTTATTACGGCAGTTTTATAAAAACTAAGCTTGAACTTTCAATTATGTCGAAAAGAGTTTCCAATTCTGCAGCTGCCAAAGGATCTACAATGCGAAACCATGTTTTGATGTCCATTAAACAAAACGTGAAATTGCTGAAAAAAATGGAAAAAGCCATATTCATCTCAAAATTATGCGAGGAGTATGGCATTGGAAAGTTAACTGTATATGACATAAGAAGAAAGAAAAAGGAACTTTTTGAATTTTTTGTGGAAGCAACTTAACCAGTTAACTGTAGCTTCCTCGTTTGAGAGTGCACACCGTTTTGTGTCGTCAGAATCGAGCCATGACGAGTATATTCGTCAATCATAGAGTAAGTTGCGCTGGTAAGATATTTGATGAAAAAAGATGGGTTTATTTTATAAAATTGAAAATTTTACTACTAATATTTACTTATTTGGTTAACATAAGCATATATTATATACATATCAAACTAAAAACGCATTAAATTTAATTCAACATTATACATACAAAAGTAAGAATTTAAATTCCTGCTGTGGAGTGATCAGTGAAACAGGGTACTATACAGAATGAGACTTTGCAAATTGAACAACAGTAACGTGATTCCTTTCTGATCTTACATTTGTAGCAGTGCGAACACCGTCGCGTAGGTTTTTTTTTTTTTATGTTCCGAGTATATAATCCGGAACATGATTCCCGCCTAATTGGCTTATATTAGGTCTAAACGTCTGAGTTTGTGTCGATTTATTTCTTTCAATTGGATACATCACAAAAGTGTCTTCAATAAATTTGAGCAAAACGTTCCATTATTTTTTTATATAATATGAATGCATTCAGACACATAATGTCTAAAAAATGGAGATATATGTTTTTGTAGTACTTTTTGAGTTGTTTTCTTGTTGTGAAGTATGTTACGATAATTCCATCGCTCATATCCACTCCATCTATTTTTTTTATTATAATCAATCACTAGCTCCAGTTTCTTTGTTATTATTTTTCCTTTCTCTGTTTCTATTACATTGTCATTATGTACAGTACTTACTAAATAAACCTCCCTCTTATCTTTTCATTTCATTTCGTTATATGCATGACGAGTATACTCGTCAATATACAAAATCGTGCCGCTTCTGCACGATGAGTATACTCATCAATCAAATTAACTGGTTGAACAGCTTACATTGAAAGAAATGTTAAATAAAGTAAACAAATAAATATTAAGCTTTTTTTTTTTTTTTTTTTTTTTTTTTTTTTTTGTAAACTTTGGTACCGTTTAGATCATAATTGTTCTTTATTTCATAAATTAAGATTTCATATTTTTAATTGTATAATTTCTGCATGCCATCTTACCAGATTTAAATTGATGATCTAATATCAGTAAGAGCACTAATGCATACAATGCCCTGTCATTTATCAGGTTAGAATTTACAAAAAATATTTGGATCAATCAGAAGAGGATAAAAGTACTTATTTTATTTTAATGATAACACTTTATACAATGGAAATGGAACTGTTACATTAAAAAATTAGCAAATATATCAGCATTTATTTATTGTAGAATCTCGGAAATTCATCATCACTGCTGCTAAAATCATATATACAATTATTATTACTTTGCTTGTCACTTTTAGTGGATTTGTCACTTTTTTATGCACGATAAAATCATCACTTTCATCTAGCATATTACTGCTAATTCAATCCTTTTTTTTTAAACATTTTATGATATTCTCACTTTTAACTATCTGCAGTCAGTATGCAATGCTGAGTTTGTGCAATTCTCTAATGTTTTTTAAGTGAAAATAGATCAATGTGTACATGGTCACCGAGTTTGTGCAATTCTTCGACTTTTTATTTTGGTTTTGTTTAACTGCCATCTTGAAATTATGCTGCTGGCCAGTTGCCAATGTTTGCCAAGGGGAACCCTTAAATATATTTTTACTAACACAGGCTAAATTTATTGCCCATTTTGGAGATATAAAGTGCATCTTATAGATTGGAAAATATGGTATTTATAGAAATAAAAAATTCCCTCTGTAATGTTGGCTTTTTGCACATATGTGGGTAAGTTTTTTTTTACATAAATACCCCTTATGTTCCCTTTTTTAACACATGCAGTTAGTAATAAACATTGTACGTAGTCTTGCATTTAATATTTGTTACATATCTGGAAATTTGAGCTGTAACTTATGGTTTATTTTAAAACAAAGAACAGTGCCAGAAGGAAATTTCTTGGTGTATTTTAAAATGAGGAAGAATTAAAATTAAAACTTGAAAATTACATTGATATAACCTGAAAGCTATTTTATATGCTTTTAGTAATAATGTAATAACAGTTTATTCGTTTGTAATAAAATTTTATGAAGTGAAACATTTTACAAATGCAACACTATGTATCTGTGAGAAAGCAGATGTTTCACTATGAAGTCAGTAGCAAAATAGGGGGTTGGAACTTCCTGCAAGTTTGTTCTTACAGTCAGGTAAAACTATATAGAAGCAGAAGAAGTAAACTAGAATAAGTAATTCAGGATATTCAAAAATTAAGCTTTGGAAACGAGATGTCTGTACCACATACGGGTGACTCAGACTGCATGAAAAAGGGTTGCCAGTATATGGGCAAAACTGTTAAGTGGTTAAATGTTATTACTCTGAACAGCAATTTAACTTTAGAATAACGCTTTTGTATTGTTTTACTATTTAAGGTATTTATATATTATCCCATTGATTGAGAAAGTTGGTTACCATTGAAATATAAAGTTGGTGAGAAACCACCAAAGTTACACCAGTAGCTCTTGTGGACGTCTGAAGGAACTGATGTTTTTTTTTATTTAATAACAATCATCCAAGTATTTGAAACATTTCGTTTTTTTAACTTAGTAAAAAAAGCTTCCGCTAATTTTTTACTATTTTGTTAGGTCTTCCGATTTTTCCGGAAGCTCTATTAGAATTCTAGGAGTACAAACTTCCCACAGGTAATTGTTCCAATCTATGACTGTTTTGTTAGCTGTATTCTATCCATATACACTTTTTGATGAAATTGAATATGTGTATAGCTCATACACAGATAATAAAATGATTAAAAAAATCAAGGTTACAGTACCTGTTCACGGCTCACAATCACCCATTGAGTGTTCAAATTAGTTGTTGGTCGAACCGCCCCTGGCAGCAATGCATGCTTGAATTCGTCGAGGCAAGGAGTAGTAGAGGTTCTTAATGTAATCCTGTGACACATTCTGCGAGGCGTTCATCAGTTGTCACTCCAGATCTGGGATATTTTGTGTTGCCCGAATCTGGCAGCCTACTATATCCCAGATATGCTCGATTGGTGAAAGGTCTGGTGACCTTGCTGACCAAGGAAGAGTATCAACCACATGGAGACAGTCCAGAGATATGCAAGCGGTATGAGGCCTGGCATTATCTTGCTGCTCAGTATGATCACCCAGATTCACACAACCCTACAATGTGACCACATTCAAAGTCATTTAGTTGTCTGTAAGGTTTTCGATGTCGTCGTAATGGCATCTTTAGTTGCTTCTTTAGATAAATTTTCCGCCTCTGTTACTGGTTTTATACTTTGCGAATTACGCACTACAAATGTGCGCTATGATCACAATTCCTGCTCATTTATCTTGAAACTTTGATTATTTGAGTGTTCTATCAAGAAGTTTTTGCATACCAAATTTTGTCACGATCGCAAAAGTCCTTAGTGCTTCAATTTTTTTGCAAAAGAGTGTATATCCTGACCATATCCTGTCCATAAATACATCATTTTTTTTTTTTACTTTAGGATTTCATAACTTTGAACACTTGCTGTTTTGTAGAAGGCAGGTCCCAAATTTTGATCATTCTTTCAAAATGCAAGAAAAAATGCATCAATAGCAATTACTTTTTATCCTTATTCATGAAATTATAGGGTGACTCATTGAGAATTAATTGAGGTTGCATCAGATGAAAGTGCAAATGTTGTGAGTCTGCTATTACATCACGCTGATTTGTCTAAATTTGCTGCTTGGTGACAGTTTCATGGCCAACGAAATAACACACTATTTATCCTGTAAAATACCCTATTTAATTTTGATATCTCTTTTTCCCTTTGCATTTCTTAATGAGAAATTTGTCTTTTTTTTAATATCATTTTTGTTTGAATGTAATGGAAGTGAGAATAGGTAATTATGTCCAGATTTATTAGCAAACATATTTTATAAATATAAACGATCTTGGAGAAAAATTTTAATTTTGACAGAAAAATTCAGTATTGTATAAACTGCTCATACTACTTTAGCTTGCAGAAGTTGTAGTTATAAATTGCATGTGCTTGTAAATATCTAAAATAGAATGCTATGTCATCAGTAAATCTAATTACTGATTGATGATACTATGTTTATCTTATTGAATGCATTTGAATTCTTTTATACTTGATTGTTCATTCATTATGCTTTGTTATAATAGTAGATAATAAATTTTGTTAAAGTACAAATTCTGCATGTATTTCAGAATTTTTCTTAACCATGTAAAATTTTCTTTAGTATTTTGCTAAACTTGTAACAGCCATGCTTATTTCATAATAGTAAATTAAAAATTTTTACACTGCAGCATTCTTGTCAGCTTCCATCACAATAATTTCTTTAAGTAAGAGCTTTAAGCAAATATAAGTTACATTGAGAGTAAATTTAAATATTGCAGTTTCTTAACTGTTCCAGTTTGAGGAAGTGTTGATTGCTTTCTGGAAGTTTCTGTTTGTGGACCACCGCTTAGAGGGCTTTCGTACTTGAGTAGAAAGTGAAATTGGAGAAATGTAATACTTCCAAGTATTTAGTGGATTTTAGCACTTAGAATTTAGTTGTTAATTCTTTTTAACTTCTTTATTCTTGTGCTGGTCATAACTTGCCTGGACACTTTGGTTAGAATGTTAGATTGAAGCAGTGTCCTTCAGACTATATTCCACAAAATCCTGAAGCTTCATGCATCTACTATAGTGGCTCTGAAAGTCTGAATCAGAATTTTGTGTTAAATCTACATGCTTTTAAAAGGAATTTTTTAATACTGTGTGGTCCCTGAAGCTAAACATTTAAAATATTTAATTAAATTATATTTTTATTTCTTATTGTGTTAACCTTTTGGTGATTATCAACGAGCTTGGCTTTTATTCCAATTGCATACTGCAATGGGCACAAACAAAACCATTTTGCATTAAAAATTTATGAGTGATATCGCATATATTTGGGGACTAAAAATTTATGACTGATATCGCATATATTTTGACAGTTATCGCATATATTTGGGAAGAAAGAATTGCTTTATCTAGTGACTGTCAAAGGGTTAATATAGTATATTCTGTTAAAAAACTAATAACTATACTTACAAAAACTTTGTTCAAATTATTCGTTTAAAATTATAACATAATATTGATTTTCTTCCCATTTTCTTTATAAAGAGTGGGTAACATTGATGTATTTTAAATGCTTTTTTGACATTTGCTTTTTTTTGAAGATGATAAGGAGTCCATGAAAACAGAGTGTAGTTTTATGGTTACCATGAAATATACAAAATCTGAGAATTGTTAGGTTAAAATCTTGGTTGTTAGTTTAAAATCAAGTTAATCTAAATTTAGAGAAATAAACTTTCTAAATTGTTTATTTTGTAACTATTATAAAAAAAGAAAACCTACTGTTTTGTACATTAAAAAAATAATAAATAAATAAATGATGTTTTGTTTTCAAACAGTCCTAATTCTTATTTATGTTTGTTTGTAGATAGCAGATTTACAAAAGAAGTTGGAAAGGAGTGCAGATTTCTCTTCTTCCTATCGAGATGAATTGCGAACTCTGAAGAGCAAAGTGGATAGTCTTAGTTCAAAGAATGCAAACCTAGAGAATACGGTAATAGTTTTTTGTAATAAAATATGTATTTTTATTGTAAGTTTTATTGTTTTGAGCACAGATTTTGCTTTTAAGTAAAAGGTCTATGCATGAAATAGACTTATAAAATAGACATGCACAAAGTCTATGAGCAAAATAGGCTTACAAAATAAACTAAGTCTTTTGCACATTTATGTAAGAAAGAACTTTCCAATATTATATTCCCAGTTTTATGAAGAATGTGTGCAGAAAAACATACACATTGTTATTGGATATATAAACAATATGTATAAAAGAGCATTGTCATTGGGAGTAAAATGCATCCAGAGAAAAATATATGAAGCAATAATCAAATAATTAATTTTTATTTAAGTTGAAACCAAATGTGGCCATTAGAAATTAAATCTACAGGCCTTCTTGATTTAGAAAAACATTCTAATGAACAAAAATGCACATCAAATATACACATGGCACACAAAATACAAATATATAAGATACTAAATAGCTGACATCTTACATCTGGTTTTGAATTTTTAATTCCTGTTGCCAACTCTGAAAAAGCATTCCTGATAACTCTAAGTATAATCAAACTATATATTAGTTTGATTTTTTGCTAAGCCAATTATTTAATTTTTTGTGATTCTTCATCTTGACGATTCTGTCGGCCCTACCGATATGGCTTATTCTAAGAACTGGAAAATGACTTCACACAACAGAAATAGGGAACTCTTTGCTGGCTTCTTCAGCATATCATTCATTCATATAATCACCATCTCATTGTCATTATTATTCATATAATCTATCTTAATAGTCATCGTCCTTCATACAGTCTCTAGCTTCACTGTCATTAGTACAGTCAAAAGTTGTTAATCCGGACTCATCGGGACTTCAGCTATTCCGGATTATCGATCATCAGTTTAAATCTGGTAAGATGGCATGCAGAAATTATAAAATTAAAAATATGAAACCATAATTTATGAAATAAAGGACAATTATGATCTAAAGGGTATCAAAATTTACAAAAAAAAAAGCTTAATATTTATCTGTTTATTTTATTAAACATTTCTTTCAATGTAAGTTGTTTAAGTTTGCTTCGTTTTATGTGATAATACTTTCTCTTTAATTCTATAAACAGACATAATTTCTTGTTCAGTTACAAAGTTCCGTGTTCAAGTCCTATAATTGCTGTGTCGAGAATACAGACTAATTTCCATCGAAATTTTTTTCGTTTTCAATAACCTCTGTGTAACTTTCTTCACTATCAGAAGCGAATTATAATGACGAGGACTTGGATTTAAATCATTATCAAAGAAGACAGAGTACATCGAGATTGAAATACTACATTTAGTAAAGGAATTATAAGCTGAAATAGAATAAAAACATCTGCCCTGAAAGATAAGGGTAGTGCTGACAGATCAACTTTCCAGTTCATTGCGCTCCGCGACGTTTCCCCCCCCACCACCGCAGAGCAGCGTGAAATTGATAAACAGATTTCGGAATGGTTAGAGAAAAAAAAGGATAGGCCTTTATCCATTTTTTGCAGCAATTCCACTTTTAGCTTAATGGACTTCGAAACGTACTTTCACTTTGTAGATCCTTTAGATATTAGTAAATATATATCGGAAATTCTATTTGACGTAATCGAAAGTTCAAGCTTACTTTTATAAAATTGCTCTAACAGTCTGCAAAAAATAATAAGCCGTATCCAATTCAAAGATTAAGGAAAACGCAAACTGCAACATTAACTGAATTAGATAATTTTAACTTAGCTTATACCGTTCGTTATACATTAAACGTGCATGTGTAAACGTAAATTTGCGCATGTGCACACGCATATTCGCAGCCGTAAAGGTCTTCTGCGCCAACGCGATGCATATGCAGAAAGTTTGTAGCTTTGAGGTCCGGATTATAGATCATTCCGAATTATGGGTGTCCGAATTAACGACTTTTGACTGTACCAATACCACCTTGATCTTTATTGTTATGATCCATATTTCAGCTCAAAATGGGACATATATTGTACCTATGATATCAAGTCTTTACATTTCAGAACCATTTTAAAAAACTTTTATTTCAGAACAATCTACATCTTTATGCTTCACAGTACTTAAGAATAATTTACATCCATATGTTTTGTGGTTTCAATATTTTTTGACATCTGTAGAATTTTCTATATTAACCATATCCACTAAAATTATGTTATTGCTTCTTAATGTTAATCACCTTCTTTGAACACAACAACAGGGTATAAAGTTTTAATAGTTCTTGTAGAATATAAACATTACTAATTTTTCGCTGTTTGAATATCTTCTATTTTAAAAGTTTACATCCATATGTTTTGTGGTTTCAATATTTTTTTACATCTGTAGAATTTTCTATATTAACCATATCCACTAAAATTCTGTTATTGATTCTTAATGTTAATCACCTTCTTTGAACACAACAACAGGGTATAAAGTTTTAATAGTTCTTGTAGAATATAAACATTACTAATTTTTCGCTGTTTGAATATCTTCTATTTTAAGAGATATTTTAATAAGTCAATGGATAAAACATACTTAATAAAAAGTTTACATCCATATGTTTTGTGGTTTCAATATTTTTTGACATCTGTAGAATTTTCTATATTAACCATATCCACTAAAATTCTGTTATTGATTCTTAATGTTAATCACCTTCTTTGAACACAACAACAGGGTATAAAGTTTTAATAGTTCTTGTAGAATATAAACATTACTAATTTTTCGCTGTTTGAATATCTTCTATTTTAAAAGTTTACATCCATATGTTTTGTGGTTTCAATATTTTTTGACATCTGTAGAATTTTCTATATTAACCATATTTACTAAAATTATGTTATTGCTTCTTAATGTTAATCACCTTCTTTGAACACAACAACAGGGTATAAAGTTTTAGTTCTTGTAGAATATAAACATTACTAATTTTTCGCTGTTTGAATATCTTCTATTTTAAGAGATATTTTAATAAGTCAATGGATAAAACATACTTAATAAAAAGTTTACATCCATATGTTTTGTGGTTTCAATATTTTTTGACATCTGTAGAATTTTCTATATTAATCATATCCACTAAAATTATGTTATTGCTTCTTAACGTTAATCACCTTCTTTGAACACAACAACAGGGTATAAAGTTTTAATAGTTCTTGCAGAATATAAACATTACTAATTTTTCGCTGTTTGAATATCTTCTATTTTAAGAGATATTTTAATAAGTCAATGGATAAAACATACTTAATAAAAAGTTTACCTTCTTTTTTTAATTTATTCAAACATTTGCTTTTAGTTGCATAAAATAAATCAATCTGTTGCTAACTTTTATGTTATTATTGTAGTTTCAATTTCACATATAAATAAGGATTTCCTAAATTACGCTTTTCTTTTTATTTTAGAATACATCACTATTAAATCGAATCAAAGATTTGGAAAAAATGTTAGAACAAGAGAGGGAGTGGCATAGTGAAGCTTTGCATGCAAAAGATGAAGAGCTACGCAGCTTACGAGATGAAATAGAGCGTCAACTTTCTGAATACCGAGACTTATTGGATATAAAAGTAGCTCTAGATTTAGAAATAGCTGCCTACAGGAAACTTCTTGAAGGTGAAGAAACTAGGTAAGCTTTTAATAAGTAGATGTAAAAGTAATTTATTTAAATGATGAAAAAGAAGGAGAAAGATTTAAATGAAACTAAAGTGACAATATCTTTCTTTCACTGTTTTGAAATTAGTATCATAAAAATATATTGATACTAGGTATTTCATTACAATTTTTAATTAGAAGACTTTAAATTGGATAAAATGCTTTTGTGAATTCTGATCAGGAGGACTCTATTTAGAAATTCATTTAGCTAGCTTGCTTCTTGTTCTTTCTAAGGCCAAAAGAATTAAGCATGGTAGAAGAGACATACACCAATGTAAAATATAAAATGGAGGCAGTATTTTGCCTTAAATTGGCATAATGGTATATAAACTTATATAGCTTAAGGTATTTAGTGCCTAATGTTTATATAGTAGAACATCAGGAACATGCACTACTTAAAATGATAGATAGCATGAATAATAAAAGTTTTGCAGATTTCAGGTCAGCTCTTGAAAGAAAAATTAGGTAATTTAAAGGGAAAAAAAACCAAATAAATGCAGACAAAGAAAACACATAAAAGCATTTGATTTCTTTAGAGTTAATAAATAAGAGGCATACGAAAAGAAAATAGGGATGAAAACAAATAAGAGTCAGGAACATCGAGCAAAAGTTCAGGTAAGACCTTTTGTAGTAAGATGCTGTACATGTGGCCAGTTAAATGACTGGGTAGAATGTGCGGTCCTATTAAATTATTGTACACAACTCCTGCCCAAAATATTAATGAAAAACCTTTCTTAGGAGGCGTGTGTTATTGTGCCATGTGGGTTATCATGAGCGCACAGGTGAAAATTATGAATGTTAAACATACCCGACCATGTAAAGGTAGACTCATCATTGAATAAAATATATTTTTTTTAACTCCTTTTTAAACATTTGTTTTATAATTGTTTGTTTTGAAACTTTAAAGTACTATTGTTAATTTGTCTACATCATCATCATGAGAACATTATTTCACTGGATTTATAACAATAGTGATCTTTAAAACAGAAGTTCAACTGAATTTGTCTTCCAATCCACAGTATTATTATTCCAAATTATTAGCTTTTAGATAATCTTTTTATTCATTCTCCATATAAAGAAGCTGTTGTTTAGCTTTAGCCTTTAATGGATTGTAACTCCAGAAAATTCGTGGCTTATATACTTTTCTACAAAGAGAACATATGGCCATATATTATGTCAAATATTTAGCAGGGTAGACTTGGAAACAGAAATTTTGTTTCTAAAGTGCTGGTTTCACAATTTTTTTACTGTAGATTTTGGTGCTTTCATCTAAAATAGATTTCAGCCATTGGTAGATTTTGGTCTTTTAGTGTTGTTTTAAATTAAGAAGTCTAAAATATGACAGAATTTGTCTAATGTTTAGATCAAAAGTATTGGTTTTCTTTATTTGATACAGTATATGTATTATTTTTGCTGTTCAATTCCTCAAATGCTACTGGCTGTTGATTAAGCCATTATAATTTAAATTCAAGGAATTTAAACTGTGTACTTCAAATTAAATCAAAGATATTAGCAATAATAATTATGTGTTTTGTTAACATAAATATGGTACTATTTTTATTAATACAGTCAAAAGTCGTTAATCCGGACTCGTCGGGACTTCGGCGATTCCGGATTATCGATCATCAGTTTAAATCTGGTAAGCTGGCATGCAGAAATTATAAAATTAAAAATATGAAACCGTAATTTATGAAATAAAGAACAATTATGATCTAAAGGGTATCAAAATTTACAAAAAAAAAAAAAAAAAGCTTAATATTTATTTGTTTATTAAACATTTCTTTCAATGTAAGTTGTTTAAGTTGCTTCATTTTATGTGATAATACTTTCTCTTTAATTCTATAAACAGACATAATTTCTTGTTCAGTTACAAAGTTACGCTGTTGAAGTCCTATAATTTCTGTGTCGAAAATACTGACTAATTTGTCAATCGAAATTTTTTCGTTTTCGATAACCTCTGTGTCACTTTCTTCACTATCGGAAGCGAATTATAATGACTAGGAATTTGATTTAAATCATATCAAAGACGGAGTACATCCAGATAAAATACTACATTTAGTAAGGAATTATAAGCCAAATAAAATAAAAATATCTGCCCTGAAGATAAGGATAGTGATGACAGATCAACTTCCAATTCATCCCCCGCCGCAGAGCAGCATGAAATTGATAAACAGATTTTGGAATGGTTAGATAAACAAAGGATTATGCCTTTATCCATTTTTTGCAGCAATTCCACTTTTTGTTTAATGGACTTTGAAACACACTTTCACTTTGTAGATCCTTTAGATATTAGTAAATATATATTGGAAATTCTATTTGACATAATCGAAAGTTCAAGCTTACTTTTAAAAAATTGCTCTAACAGTCTGCAAAAAATAATAAGCCGGATCCAATTCGAAGATTAAGGAACAACGCAATCTGCAACATTAACTGAATTAGATAATTTTAGCTTATACCGTCCATTATACATTAAACGCGCATGCGTAAACGTATTATGGGCATGCGCACACGCATATTCGCAGCCGTAAAGGTCTTCTGCGTCAACGCAATGCATGTGCAGAAATTTTGTAGCTTTGAGGTCCGGATTATAGATCACCGGATTATGGGTGTCCGAATGAACGACTTTTGACTGTATATATCTTATGCTAAGAGAAAGTGAAAACTTGGTTATTAATACCAAGCATGCATAAATATGAAATTTCTGTTTTAAGTTATTCTGTGAAGAATTTCTTTACTATTTTGGATGGCTGTATCATGTACTGTTATTAAGTTATATGTATTGCATTTGATAGGCTGGCCTTTTTTTCTCACCTTCTTGATCCAGTTCCTTTAGAAAAAGCTTTTGCAATGGCATGTTACAAATAGCTGTAACATGCTTCTTGGATATGCTATTGTCTAAAACTAGAATAAACTGTAATGATTGTGATGAAATTTAATGTTAATAGAAGCCTCTGTCTCTCTATATATTTCTAATTTTGTTCAACTGGTAATAAACTTGTTATTTTTCTTTGTGTACCATTTTATGTTCCAAAAAAGCAGAAACAAATGGAGCTTTTAAAATTGAAAGTGGTTTTAAGTTTTTATTCAAAAGTAAAGATTTAGTTTCATGAGTTGGCAGCAATAGATGTTATGTGCATTTAAGGTAACTTTTTTTTTTTTTTTTTTCTGTGAGTGTCTTAATATTTTATGTTATGTGTTTTTATGTTTTATGTTAACTTTTTATGTGTCTCAATATTTGAAACTTTATAACTGTTTTGTGTTTTAACAGAAGAAAATATGTGATGTAATGTGAAAAAAATGTTTGTGAAATTGATTAAATAAAGAATTGAAGATGTGTTCAAATATTTTTAAAATCAAGATTGAAGTCTGTAAAATATTTCTCATAAAATAGTTCTTGCATGAAAAAGTTGCAACTCAAAATTTATTTTAACAGACTTAACATTAGTCCTGTAAGTTCCCGTGCCAGTAGTCCTCAGCCTTCCAGATCCACACCACTGAGATCGCACAAACGGCGGCGAATTTTGACCGACTCAGAGAGAACAAGCTTAGGCACCCAAGTATCAGCAAAATCTTCTGGAGATATCGATATTTCTGACCATGACTTGAAGGGGAAATACGTAAAGATTCACAATAAAGGAAAACAGGTAATATATTAAATGTGTCTTGGGATTATTTATATTTATTTCTGTATGATGACAAAAGTTACCTTTGATGTTAAAAAAAATGGATAGTGTAGTATTCTACATATATTTAAGAAATAAGGTTTAATTTCTGCATTTAAAAGTACCAAAGGCCTCTGGAGGACTGCATTGGGAAACTGTAATGACCTGAAAAAATGAAGAGAATAGTATTAAATAATTATCATTTCAATTCAGTAAAAAACAGATCATTCAAAATTCTAGATAAGCAAATGAAGAAAGGTTGCTTACCTTTATGATCCGCGTTCTTCAATTCTGGTCCGCCACTTTTGTAGACTCTGATTTGGTTTCAAACTCATCTAAAATTGGCACTATTTTGTATGAATCACTTTATCTGACATTTCACACAAAAAGAGGAACAATTTCTAAATCATTACAACATCAAAAAACACTTCTAACTGCTTAGAATCATTGTTATACATATCTAAAAGCGTCATTGTTGCCAGTTCTCAAAAACAAACTTTCTTTTTTGATTCTCGTCGGTCTGGAGGCTCAATCTGTTCCCCAAGAGTGGAGCTTGCGTTGTTTGCGACACACTCCCCCCCACCCCGATGAGTTTCACCAAGTTGAAACTCAGCCACAGTCTGGTTGAAAGTTCATGAGGTTTAATTGTTCAGTGGTTCGAATCACTTGTCCACATCTAGTTGTTTTGAGGGGATTCTGATTGAGTTCATCTGACTGATCTTTGCCAGTGGCACGAAAATCTCTAGATCCAATAGAAGTTGTAGGCTCATGACACATTTTTTAATCAGAATGCTTCTTTCTCAAACAGTCTCCTATATTATCCATTTGTAAATGGACTTTCAACGTATAAATTCGTTGTAGGGGGTCGAAGGATTTCGCCGCTTTTGGTTAGTAATTTTACTAAACGAATTACACCATTATTTCCTGGGATAAGTGCTATAATTTTTCCTAGAGGACACTTAATTCTTTTCTCAGGTGTTTCTATGAACACAATATCTCCAACTGAGAGTTTTAACATATTTCTCTGTTTTTAAAATATGGTTTTTCAGTTGTCCTAAGTATTCAGTTCTGAACTGTTTTCGTAGATCTTCTCTGACCTTCATCTGGTATACATAGCTTTTTTGTAAGTATTTGGCATCAATAATGTCTAGATTTGGAACTCCACTTTCTTTTAGATCACGAAAAAACATTGCAGGTGTCAAGGGTTCCAGTTCCAAGTCCTCGGAAAATATAAGTTAATGGTCTGCAATTTAAGATATTTTCGCAATCACAGAGGATCGTATAGAGTTCTTCATATTTCAGTGAGGCATTACCTAAAACTTTTCTGAGAATGTTTTTTCATCAGGCCAATCATTCTTTCCCAAAATCCACCCCACCAGGGAGAAGCTGGTGGGATAAATTTCCACTTAATGCGGTTGACAACATGATTTTTAATAAGTTTATCCCAGTCAATCATTTTTAAGAGCGAATTTGTACCAATAAAATTACTACCGTTATCAGTGTAGACAATTTCAGGTCTTCCTCTGCGTGCTATAAAACGTCGGAAAGCCAATAAAAAGTTATCTGTTGACAAAGACGTTAAAAGTTCAAGATGAATTGCCCTGTATACAGCACATGTAAATAAAACGATCCACGTTTTCGATCCATTTTTTTAAAAACAAAGGGCCAGCTAAGTCGATACCTGTCACTTCAAAAATAGAAGAATCTTTAACACGGTCTTTTTGGCAAAGGTGCGGATTGTACCGTGGAGGGCCTCGAATCAAATCTTCTACATTTAGTGCAGTTTTTCAACACTTTACGAATAGTTTTACGACTTTTCAAAATCCAGAAATTTTCTCGTAGCATTGCCATTAAAGTCTGAGTTCCGCAATGCATTTGTTGTTCATGTTTTTCCATAATCAGTTTAGAGACAACTGGATGTTCAGGAGGTAGGATTACAGGTGTTCTAAAATTTTCGAAGTCTTGTCTCATTAATATTCTTGACTTTACTCTTAAAAGACCAGATGAATCAACAAATGGTTTTAAATTTCGTAAGCGTTTATCCTTTTCTGTTTTAAAGGAGACCCTTTGCACAATTTTCCAAACAAGGACTTCAGCTGCATTCAATTCTTCGATTTCTAAGTTCTTTGACGTTGTTCTGTTTTTATCTCTGCAGTTATCAATATACCTTTTTATCCAGGCTGTAACTCTAATTATTTTCTCAAAAGAAGAAATTCGTGAGAAATGCGAAAATTCTTCATCTACATTTGTTAACGAGGATACAACTGTTTTTCTTCTTTCTCGATCAATCATATCTTTGTCAGGAGAAATATCACAAGTAGGCCAACAGTCTGGATTCAACTTCAACCATGCTGGACCTTCATGCCATCTTTTGGCTTTAATAGTTTCAACAGAACATCCTCTTGACGGAATATCCGCAGGATTCAAGTTGCCAGGAACATAATTCCATGCATCAGGATTAGTAAGAGCTCGTATTTCTTTCACTCTATTCATAACAAATACACCCCAATTTTTCTTCATTCTTAATCCAGTACAATGTGTTCCTTGAATCTGTCCAATAAAACGTAGGTATATTTTCTTCCTTCAAATCTTGTTTTATAGATTTCATTAATCTTGCACCAACAACACAAGCTAATAATTCTAGTCTACAAATTGATGTGGGTTTTAGAGGAGCAACTCTAGATCGTGCTTGAACTAAATGACAAGCAATTTCATTTTCATTTCTTAAATAAACGCAGGTTGCATATGCCATTCGGGATGCATCACAAAATATATGAAAGGATAATTTCAATTCAGAATCAATATTAAGCATCATCTGTCGAGGAATTTTTATTTCTGTTAAACGATTTGCATCATTTTTCCATTTCATGTATTTCCTTTGAATTTCTTCAGGAAGAGCTTCATCCCAAGTTACTTTTAATTCCCAGCAGTTTTGTAACAGAATTTTAGGAATTAAAATTATAGGGCAGGTGAATCCAATAGGGTCATAAATTTTATGAATTTCAGACAAAATTGTTCTTTTAGTAACAGGTTTGTTTTTTGATTCATTTAATCCCTTAATATCACAACTTAATGTGTCATCATGCAAATTCCAAAGAAGTCCCAAAATGTTGACCGTTTTAGCTTCACAAGGATCATCGAAAAACTCATTCTCATTTAATTTATCAAGCTTCGACTGTTCTAAAATGGGTTCAACAACAAATGCATCCCTTTTATTTCGAGGATAGTTATATGCCCACTCTTGTAATTCAAATTTAGCACTTGCCAAAATTTCAGTGGCATCATTTTTTAACTTCTTTAATTCTGATTCATCATTCACACTTGTAACTAAATTATCAACGTACCAGGATTCTACTAATTTATTAGCACTCGCACGATAATTTTCTGGTACTTCATTCATTAATTTCGTTAGTGTTGCATTTAAGAGAAATGGACTGCTGGTTATTCCAAAGACCACTCTTCTATGCCTGTATATTTTCAAACGCTCAGAATTTCCCTGTTCCCACCATAAAAATCTTAAATAATCTCTGTCTTTAGGATTAAGTGCTATCTGCAGAAAAGCCTTCTTAATATCAGCGCTCACGCCAACCAATTTTTCCCAGTCGAAATCTATTTATTATAGCTGGAACAGTATCAATCAAATTTGGACCCTTTTCCAAACAGTCATTTATGGAAGGTGATCCTTTAGTTCTTACGGATCCATCGAAAACCGGTCTTATTTTTGTCGTGGTGGAATTCATTCGAATAACAGCACGATGGGGTAAATAATGAGAGGGGTTATTAACTTCTTCCTCAGGAACAATCTCTATTATTTTATCATCTTCCCAAGATTTAAAAATTGCGTCATAATCTTCTAAAAATCCCCATCCCTTAAATTCTTCACTGTGCTCTTTAATCTCTTTTCTGCTATTTCTCGATAGTTTGGAAGTAGGGAATGATTTTCAATCCAAGGTAAACAAACTTGAAACCTTCCTTCTTCATCTCTTTTCACATTGGAAAGAAAATGTGTCATTGTTTGTTTTTCTAATTCCCTTTTAGTTTGACTTTCTGAAGGATCTAATATCCCAAGAGTATCAAGTTTCCATAAATCAGAAATTTTACTATCTGATACTAACATAGAAAATGCATAAGAACAATCATATTTATTTTCCATTTCTACGGGAATTTTCCCCATGATACTCCAGCCTAAATAAGTTTCAATGCAAACTAATCCACATTCTAACTTCTTTATTTTCCCTGTAAGCAATTTTCCCGCTATGTCTGCGCCTATGAGGATATGAATTTCAGAAGGAGAATGCTCGAACAACAATTTTTTATGCCTACCTTCAACATCATTCAAAAATATGTTATGGGTTTTTAACTCATTTAAATAAGGCTTGATGTTCAATTGTGGAATATCAGAACAAATATTCGCTTGATCAAAAGCTTTGAAGTTACACTGATAATCGTTTTTGATACTACTTAAACGTACAACGAACTGTTTATGAGTTTCAACCACTTCAGTTCCTCCGAACAGACTATGAATCACACTGCTTTCGTTAATACATTCGTACTGCATAGCATTAGCTAAGAATTTAGATACATAGCTTCGTTGACTCCCAGAATCAATTAAACAGCGGCAGTATTTTTCTGGACCATTGCCACGCACTCTTACTTACAACTAAAGTTTGTAATAAAACTTTCTCTAAACATGATTTGTTCGTCAAATTGAGATCCTTCTTATTTGATTTTTTCTCATCTAAACTATTTCTGTCACAGATTAAACTGTTGTGTTTCCACCCACATGAATCACACTTTATCTTCGAAAAGCAATTTTTTGCCAAATGGTTACCCCTTTTAAGGCATAAATAACACATTCCGAGTTTTCCGAAGTGACGCCTTTCTGTCTGTTACAGACTTCGGGCAAGCATTCGGAAGTATGTTTTTCTTTTTCTGAATCCTCGCAAAATATGCAGCTGTTAATTGAAACCTTTAACACAGCAGCCGTTGGAATAGAAATTTTATTTATTCTTTTTTCTTTAGGAAAGTGGCTCGAATTATGGTTGTTTATTTTATCTTGAATTTGTAGCATGGATTCGCGGCACTCAATTTCCCGTTTTCAAGAACTCTAATAATTCGTTTACATCGAAATTATCTTTCGATTTTTTTTTTTTTTTTTTCTTTGTAAATCAAGATTTAATTCATTCAGAATTAATTTTAATAAAACTGGTGTCAATAACGTGCCATATGTGCCAGAAGTTACATTAAGTGATTTTAAACTTCTTATCTGTATTTCGATATCATCATACAACTTACGTAATGCAAATATGTTGTTAGCATTCCTAACAGGTTCTAAATTTAACAGTTTTCCCATATGTGCATTTATAATTAAATCTGTTCGACCAAAGCGTGTTTTAAGTAACTCGATTGCGGCAAAATAATTTTCACTTGATAATGCAAAACCACTAACAGCATTACAAGCAGCACCTGATAAAAATGAAATCAAATAATTAAATTTGTCTGTATCTGTTAAATCACTATTCTGATGTATCGCATTGTCAAACTGGTTCCAAAATGATAACCAATTAACAGGATCGCCATTAAATTTATTGATCGATAATTTGGGCAATTTAATTTTTGAATGAGAAACAGAAATGTTTGAAATGCAGAAATTCACAATATTACCAATTGTATTCGAAACTGGAATTTCAGGTTTCCTTTTCTCTTTTAACATAAATGTTAGTTTTGATTTCATGGAAATTATTTTCTCGGAATAAACTTCACAAGTTTCAAATTCCGATTCATATTCAGTAGCCTCAATTAATTCTTGTATTTGTTTATCTAATTCTTTTAGGCTGTTATATTTTGAATCTAATAAATCAATATTTTCATTAAGAATACACAAATCGTGTTCTGTTTCTTGGAGGTATTCTTTACAATTATTTATCAACTTTGTTGTCATACTCCTAACTACAGTTCGTCTTTTCTTTAATTCTTCTATTTTAGTAGACATGTTTAAATATTTCAGATAGAAAATATTTCAAATTAAAATCAGTACTCTCAAATCAAAATAAACTTCTCAAATCAAAAGGAGCTATTTTTTAAAACATTCCTAAATCTTTCACTTCAATATGGTCTACTTCGGCGGTCCCTGTTCGGGCGCCAAATATTTATATCATTTCAATTCAGTAAAAAAACAGATCATTCAAAATTCTAGATAAGCAAATGAAGAAAGGTTGCTTACCTTTATGATCCGCGTTCTTCAATTCTGGTCCCCCGCTTTTGTAGACTCCGATTTGGTTTCGAACTCATCTAAAATTGGCGCTATTTTGTATGAATCACTTTATCTGACATTTCACGCAAAAGAGGAACAATTTCTAAATCATTACAACATCAAAAAACACTTCTAACTACTTAGCATCATTGTTATACATATCTAAAAGCGGCACTGTTCTAAAAGGGCTACACTTATCGTTGCCAGTTCTCAAAACTTTCTTTTTCGATTCTCGTCGGTCTGGAGGCTCAATCTGTTCCCCAAGAGCGAAACGTGCATCATTCGTGACAATAGTGACTAATTAAAACTAAATGAAGTATTAGGCAATATAAATAAATAATAATAGAGTAGCATTAATAAATTAATAGATGTTAAATGAAAATAAATGTAACATAAAAATTAAATAATACAATAAAATGGAAGCTGAATGTCATAGTGTACACAGATAAAAGGAAAGTAAATATTCTGAACAGCACTACAACTTATTGAAAACTACTGAGTGCATATTTTATAAAAATATTTTACAAAAAATATATCACTAAATGAAAAACTTTGCTATAAAGAATTTTATGATAATAAACCTGCATATTAAATGTGTAATTATTGATTAGATACACTGTTTTGCACTAGCTGTATAGTGATCATTGAAATTTAATTAAAAAACGTATTGTAAATTTTCATTCTGCTACAATTTGCAATTGAAAATTATATCTACATCCTTGTTTCTAGCATTCAGTATGAACAGTACAGAACCCTGTGATAAATTTTCAAGCCTGTGGCTGAGCAGACTTTGCTTCTCTATGATTAAAATTTAGACCCACATTAATTTCTTTGGTTTACATAAGCCAGAAGTTTTCTTCAAATACGAGCTCTGGATTTATATTTTACCTCAGTGGTTTCTTGCATTTCTTACTTGTGGTTTTTATTAATATAAACGGGTTTTATGATTTTGAGAGTAAGTGAAACATTCATTTCACTAATTAGCATCAATATCAATCAAGCCATTTTGTAAAATGTAATGTTTTGCATTCCGTATTGTTAACTTTAACATAATCATACAGTATCATACTATTTACGAAATCTGTTATATTCTGTTTACAAAATCTTGCTGTATTTAATAGATGAATAATTTTGATTGACATATTTCACTTAAATATCGCACTTATGAGCATTTTAGGAGGCATGCTTTGAAATTCCATTGCTGCCGAAATGGGCATGCTGTTTACCTACATCTGTTGGCAAGCCATAGATGCCATTATGGAAACTTTTGACCATGTTAATGTTTGTTTTTGAGTATTTAAAATGGTTTCGCCAACTAAGAATCCTGCCAAATTTGAAATACCATTGGTGATTCGTTTTCTTAGTGCTAAAGACATAGTGCTAAAGGTCTGAATTTCATCATCAGGTTAGGAAATGCATAGAAAAAACATTATGAGCAATGGAATGGTATGGAAATGGGTTAGGTCTTTTTAAAGTGGCTGCTCGAATGTTCATGATGATGAATGAAGTGGGAGACCTTCTGCCACTACTGTAAATAAGAAGTGAAACAAAACAAATGTTTTACAATTTTTTCATTATCTGATGACTTTTCTCAGGTTTCAGGTGGTGTTCTGTATGAAATTGTGAGCGAGTGCTTAAATTATTGAATATTGTGCACGCGCTGGGTGCTAAAAATGTTGACGGAGGTGCACAAAACCAAACATTTAAGTAGTGCTTTAATTTTCCTTCAGTGCTACAGTGAGAAAGGTGATGATTTTTTAAGCCAAATTATCACAGGCGACATAATCTGGGTGGCTTATGCTACAGCATCAATCCATGGAATTGCGGCATTCATCATTACACAAGAGAGTGTAGTTCAAGCAAACAGTTTCAGTTTAAAAACATCCTCTACTATGTTTTGGGACATGAAGGAGCTGTTGTTTGTAGATATTTTGTCTTGTGGTGACACAATAAATTCTATGATGTATTGCGAGACCTTAAACAAACTGCACTGTGCAATCCAAAACAAAAGCTTACCATGCTGATTAGAGGGATTGTTTTGCTTCAAACGAATTCGAGATCTCATTGCCTAATTTTGCTGGAAATGACTTGATCACTTTCTGTACAGTCTGATCTAGTGCCCTGTGATTACCAGCAGTTGATTCCTGCATTTGAAGTAGCATTTGAACAGCCTTTGCCGCAACAACAGTGATAGAGTTAATAAAACGACTGTGTTGCAGTGGATGGGAAATCAAGTGGCAGACTTCTGTGGAGAGGGTACTCGAAAGCTGGTTGTATGATATGATAAATGTAGATAGAAAATATTAATATTGTCTTAATACTGACAGAAATTATGTAGAATAATGTGCCAAGGTACAGGCTTTCATATAAAAACAAAAGTAGTAAGAAAATTCTACTTGTCTCTTTTTTATTTTTAAATGGTACTTTAAAAATAATTCCTGTAAATAATCTTGAGGTAGTGGATCATTTCATCATTTGGTCATTCAAATTCTATCTTTTTTTCTACACATTTGAAGCTCTGCATACTTTAGTAATAGTAATATGTACTAGAAAAATTCATAATATTCTTACTGATATATGATATACTGAAAAATTGCATATAGATGTTAAAGAATGAATGAATCCCACTCTAGAAATTTAAGTTTATTGGAACCAAAATTCAAACTAAGAAGTACAGTGTAAGTATTAATTATTACTGTAAAAGTGGGTACTGAGCAAATTCTTCCAATATAAACTGAGAAATTTTGAGTTGTTGAATTTAATTATCTGTTATATGCTACTTTGTAAATTAAAATTTATTATGACTCTTTGTTAATAACATCATTTATATTTAGGAAATTTCTCTAGGCAGCTGGCAGCTAGTGCAAAGAGGTGAAGGTACTGAGGTGACCTACAAGTTTCCTCGTGCTGCTGCAATCAAGCCTAATGCTACTGTTACGGTAAGTGTTCAAAATTAAAATAATTAAAAAATTATATTATCCTTCTGTTTTTTTCCTTCTCCTTTTATATATATTCATCGCTGAATTCAGTTAGGTGCTTTAGATAACTGAGCATAATTTTATGACATAAATTTTTTTTTTTAAAGGTATGGAGCTCAGATAGTGGTACAACTCATAGCCCACCTCAGAATTTGGTAATGAAGAATCAGTCATGGTGTTCTTCATCTAATCTCTTGACTATTCTTTTGAATAACAATGGCGAAGTGAGTTTAATGTATTGCTTGTCATAAGGTTTACTGCATTCAAATGCTTTGTTAAAAAACTGGATTTAAATTGTCTTTTTCCAGATGCTTATTGTAAGCGTATATGGTAGGTAGGCCCATTATTAAAGTGATCAAAATTTTATGTAGCCAATCTAGGGCATTATATAAATTTAAACAGTTCCAATAATCAAACAATTTAACAGTTTTTATCTCATCAGCATTCTGTTACACACACACACACACACACAAAATATATATATGTAAAATTAATTAAAAAAATTATTGCATTCTAATATTTCTTCTGTCTAATATTTCTTCAAGAATTCATTGGTTGTTTTCTATTATTGAAATATATGTGGTATTGCTGCATTTGTTATTAATTATTTGAAAGAAATATATTATTGTGAAAATGGGGAGGGGGGCTCTGTGTTTAACCCTGATTTTAATTTTATACCCGAATCAATGTATAATTTTTTGGCTGTCACAAATCTTTGAAAATAAAATATTTTGTCAAGTAATTAGTTGTCAAATTACTCTTTCATTAATATAGTTTCTTGCAAAAGTTCATTACACATTTGCTATTCAACAATATTTAAAAAGTGATCCATTAATTTTTTTCAGAAGCCATTTGTTTCATGCATTACCCAAATTTATTGAAACATACACATATATATTACGTATATATATATAATATGTATGATTACATGCTAATTTAACGTATTTATATTTTAATCTGCATAAATATCTCCATGAGTGTCTGGAGTCATAGAATTCTTGCTAACTATTTATAAAATGTGAAAATATTCACTGTACTGAACTGGGACATCATATTAAATATAGAACCAGGCTGTTCCACATAATTTGAGACATCTAATCATTGAATTGTCCAAACTGTGTAATGGACTGCTTAAAGGTTTTAATTAATTGTTTATGCTTTAGGAAGAAGCCATTGGAATGATTGATTTATTATCTTTCATAGATCAACCTACTTTATTATTACTAACATTCACAGTTTCATTTTGCAATGTGATGTTTGATGAAAAGTGAAGAAATGATCAACAACAGTTTTCAAGGTTTCTGTTATTTTATTTACTTATTTTTTTTTTAATTTGAAAACTGCAGTGGAATAACTATTGACATAAAAGTCATAATATTGTTTAACAAAGTATTTTTCATCAATGATATAATCATATCCAGGTGTAAAGTTTGGAAATTGTATTAAAAATACAGTTCCTTTTTTTTTTTTTTTTTTTTTTTTTTTTTTTTTTTTTTTTTTTTTTTTTTTTTTTCATTTCTACATCATGAAAACACAAATTCACAGCCATTTTTAGAAAATATAAATTTATTTCTTGGCTTTAACATTGATCCTTCCCCCCAAAAAAGATAAGTATTTAAAAAAGGAAATTGGATAGAATAAGCAATATTATTATATTCTAGTTTTTGAAAATGATTAGGATAATTTTTTAAAAATATATAAAGGAAACATTTTCCACTGAAAAGGGAATAAATTTAGAAAATCATGATAATTAATTCACGTATTCTCATTTCTCAGCAAAAGTTTCTGTGTCAAGCTATTTCTGTCTTGTATGAAAGGTATTGTATGAAAGGAAGGTGAACTATTGATTTTAAGAAAATAATTTTCTATTAAGGAAAGATACAATCCTATTTTTGACAACAGTAATTTTAAAAAGGTATGCTATAAGGTGTTATATGCACAAAAATTTTTAAGATTCTTATTATGCATACTGGACATTAGCAATGGAAATTTAGTTCCCTAGCATTTACTGTGTCCACCAATGACTGAGTGAGTTAGACTTCTGAATGCTAGTAATTGGACCCCAGTTCAAATCTTGACAAATGGCCTAGTTTCACAGTTTTTCCTGTTTGCAATTTAAATTCAAACCAGTTTTTCTTTAAAAATTCCCCAAAGATGTCCTTCCATTAATGCAGATACTTCTTGCATATTTTGCTTTAATCAACTAAAAGACCCTGATAGTAGTTAAGACAAATTGTAATGTAAAAAATGCCCTTTGTGAAATCATTTGCTTTCCTTTTCATCTGTAAATGTTTCATTTAAATAAAAAAAAGGGGGGGGGAATATTGTATGGGAGTATGTTAACTGTTGGTGCATATTAATTTTTTTTGTGTGTGTGTGTGTTTGTTTGTTGTTTGTTTTGATTAAATGATTTAATGTAATTTGAGAAACTTGTTTATTCTATTTAACAGTGATTTTTTACGGTCTAATTACAGGAAGCTGCTTCCAGAGAATCCCTCAAAGTGTCAGAACTTTCAGAAGTTCAGCACATGGAAGAACAGTAAGTTTGAACAGGTTTTTTGCCACCTTTAAATGGGCTAAAGAAAATCTCAATAATATTTCGAATGTAGTGTTGATGGCTATTTAGACTGTTGGGAAAACACTTTGTATTGTATTCATATTCAACATGCATCTAATTCTTAATTGTGTAATGGATAATAATAACATAATAGTTGAAAATAACTGACATTTTAAACACAACTGGAATGAAATGCAATTAAATGGAAATTTATTTCTATAAAGAAATAATTTTAATTCAAAACGGAATTTGGCTTGATTGCTTTTTCAATTCTTTCATATAGAAGTTTTAATAAAAATTAATGAAAACTGTTATTTGAAATCTAGTTTGTGTATATCAAAGCTAGTTTATTTTTGCTTCAAATTTATTATTGTTCAGGATATAACATATTTTGATGAGATAAGCAGACACTTGATTTCTCTACAGGCATAATTTCATTTGGTAAAATAGCTGTTGTATGAAGAATGTTAAAAAAAATCTTGTTATAAAAGTTAAATATTTCAGAATTCTTCACTTAGTTTTCAAAATGATAAGTTTTTGTAATTGTTAATCTTTCCCCTTCCAATCATTTTTTCTAAAGAACTTTGAAACACATTTTTTCCACTGTTACAGCTTCTGCATATCTGAAAATCCCAAAATGTTTTGTTCAGTATGTAGGTTCTGATAATAGTCTAATATAAGTTCACAATGTTGTGTGAAATGTATTAATAGTATTCAGGTGATTTTGCTAGGAATAAAGAAAGATATTTTTTGAATTCTGTAATTAAAAAGAAAAAATTAAAAATGTAAAAAATTTGAAGTTTTATATTCATTATTATTTTATTTATTTTTTTAGAATGTAACTTATATTTCAAATATAAGTTATGAAATGTTGCTTGTTTTTAACTCAATTTATAGCAGTGTATACTGTAAAAAATCCAACAATGTTAAATTCCCCTTAAAAATAGAAAAAATACTAGTGTAGCTTCCATCAATTTACATACCTCCAGTTTAATGTATTGTCTAAAATTAAAATGCAGGAATGCATAATGGTATAATAAAACAACATACCAGAAATTTAACTGTTAAAAATTTGTAACATTATTGTAGAATGTTTTTTTATAAAAATAGGACATGGTGTATTACAGCAAAAATATGTCTAGATATTTTGTCATCTTTAAAAAATATGTACACAAATCTATGTATTATATTTATGCATGCTCACATATATATATGCAAAGATTATAAAATTGGCTAAAACTATTGCAGAATATGTATGTTAGGAAAAAAAAAAAAAGACTCTGATGTTCATATTACCTTGAAACTACATATTTCCTAAAGATAAATGTCAATCTAAGGTTAAATTTTGTCTGTTTTAAAGTGGACATGCTTTGTTTAAGATTAGTTGTCTTAGTAATAGCAGTGGCTGTAAGTATATTTTGCAAAGACTTGTAATAAGAATAAACAATATTTCTTTTATTTTTGGTATGGCTGTAGATGATGGTCTAGAAAAGTTGATTTTGGCCTGACTGCACTGATCATAAATATATAAACTTTTGCTAATCTCCTTTATTCTCAAGACTATTCACAGTTTTTTTAATGAATGCATTTCATTGCTGATATTCTACTTTGATTTATTGGCTGGATCAGTCAAGTAAACATTGGATAGGAAAGCCTTTATAACCAGAAGATATTTGATTTATTGATGGTAGGATACTTGTCAGTTAGAAAAAGTGCTTTTTTCTAGCAGATCTTTTTTATAGCCAAGAATACTTGTGAGACAGATTTCCTATGAAACTATTGATATTTACATAAGAATGCAACCACTTAGTAAAAATCTCCAAATTTTCAGAATGTGTTAAATCATGCGCATGACATTATTTTAGTAACCATCCTCATAACAATCCTTCAGTCAAGCAACAACACCATTTTCAAATGTGTTCTTTTTTGCTGTATTTCAAGCTCCAATTTTTTTTATCAACAGATCATTATATTTTTTGCCTTAGTTTTAAAATAGGAGCTTGTGAAATTTACTAGCTGTGGAATGTTGAAACACAGCAGCAAAAACAAAAACTAGAGTAAAATTTTTGCGAGAATGTTGCACTTTTACTGAAAGGAGGAAAATCATTGCCAGCAGTGAAACGTTGAAACACAGCAGCAAAAACAAAAACTACAGTAAAATTTTTGCGAGAATGTACACTTTTACTGAAAGGAGGAAATTCATTTCTTGATAGCTGCTGTTACTGATGGTTGCAAGAAGCCCAGTCTGTGCAATTCTGTGATTTTTTTTAACGAAAACAGATTGCTGTGTTCTTCAGAAGAATAGTTCAAAAAAATTACAGAAAGATTTGAAGATAAATATATATTTTATTTTTTTTAATATATCATGTAATCCTTAGTTAATAATTCAATTTGTATTTTAAATTGCTAAAGTGTTTTTTCTTTTCATATGTTGATAATGTTTACCAGATTATGATAAATATCAATAGTTAAGGAATGTGAAAAAAGTGGGTCACAAAAACCACCAACTTGCACCTGATAAATAACTTTTACCTTTTCATCTGTAAAAAAAAACATAAATTTCGCCAAGGTGATTGCATTCATACGTAAGTTCCAAACCATTTTGTAATTTTTGCATTTAAGTACCAAACCATTTTGTAAAAATTGCAATGAACTGAGATTTTATTATTTATTTCAAAGCATTGCTGGCTTCTAGATTGACCTATAATGAGAGGCTTCAGTCTCAAAGCTCCAGAAATATTGCATTGTGCATCATTATTACTTTCTGATGCTTATAATCTAGTTTCTTTTTCCTGTTGTTGCATTGCTTAATAGTAATATTTTGCATTGTATTCAGTAAAGCATAATGCAGAATAGTACTCTAAAATAATGGGAATTTTTAAAACTTAATATTACTGTTAAATAATGTTTGATCAAGGCATTCTGATCAACACTTCTATTTTGATGCATTGCTAAATACTTTTGTAAAAGATTCTGTAGCTAAATGATTCTTACTTGAGATTTTTCACTTTTAAGCACATTTTCCGTAGTGTTTTTCAAAGTGTTATTATACTGAATGAGCTAAAAAATTGAGAAAAAAATTGATTTTTCAATGCGTATTAGATTTGAAATAGGAATGCCTTTTGCTTGTTTTTGATTACTCTGTTGAATGAAACAAACACATTTTTACGTATAAAAAATGTTTTTTATTATGTTTGTAATAATTCAAGTAATATAATAAGATGCAAATTTTACAAGTGTTATTTTTATCCTTGCATGTTACAAAAAAAAAACCTTTATGGAAATATTTTATGTTGTTTCCAAACTTTCTACTCTTCTTGCATTGTGAAAAAACAACAGTATTTAGAGCCTCAAATTTTGAATAACAAAGTCCTCCACCTGATTATGGGCACCTGGAACCCTGAATTTAATTTCGAAATTTATTATCTATTTCATATTTTGTAAAATTTTATGAATTTTTGATTAAAAACTCAATGATTTCAAAGCAAGCAATGACAACACTTTACAGAATAAAACATTTTTATCTTCAGTGCACGAGACTGTCTGTCAGAAATTGTAAAGATATGCTGCTTTTAAATATTTTTAATCCAAATGCTCTCGAAACGTGCATTTGTGTATAAATGAAGAAAATCCCTTTGGGCATAAAATATGAAGGCTTTAAGATTTTTTTATTATTTATTTTATTTTTGTGTGTGAGGTTTTCATTATTATTGGGAATTTAAAAATTATTTTTATATATGAAAGATAAATAAAAATATGAGCAGAAAAATCTCAAATTGGTTAGATCATCCATCAAGAGGGCATTTTCTTTTCTGTCCCCCTCTTTCTCTTGCTGTTTTAAAACAATACCTGATTAATCCACAAATTGAAATTCACACCCAAAATGGGAGTTAAGTATACAGTAGTAAGATGAAGTTAAATTTATTACATGCAGGAATCATTGAAATTAAAAGCTATATGGTAAATAATGTGAGAGAATGCTTTTTTATAGTATTTTATATGTGTTATACTTTGTATATACATGTATATAATTAAATGATGACATTTAAAATAAGAGACTGTAAACAGTGGTCACAGAACCAAATTATTAAAATACAGTATTGATGCCTATTTGAATACCTTTGGAATTTGTGATTGGAAAGAACCAACATTTGTTAATGAGATAGAGTATAGTTTAATCTTTAAGTTCAAGGGTATTTCACATGTTTAGATTATGTACTGTTTAATATTAGAACTAAAACATGCATTTAGTTGATTGAATATGCATTTGTTTTGAACATGCATTTATAGGTTTGTTATTGAATTATTTTTAATATTTTTAATAAGTAAAATTTTTTATTTTCAGCTGAGCGAGAAAACTACTGTGTATTTGAATACATTTCTTACTGCTCTTAGTCATTAATATCAGCATTTGCAGTCTTATTCCCATCAAGAATGAAAAGTCATATTTGGGAAATTAAATTAATTTGGAAGTGCATATCTCAGGAATATGTATACATTCTTCCTGAATTTCTAAATTAATGCATATCAGAGATGAGCTGTTTGTGTGTTTAATTTTGGTGTTATTTATTAAAAGCATTTGAATATATTATATGCTAATCTTCTGCTCTATATACTAGCAGTTACTAATCTGCCGTCCTAATGATTTATTATTTGTAGTTAGTTTAAGATCAAAGAAATAAAAGCATTTATGTAGCTTGCAAGCCTTTTTATTTAGTGAAATTGAGCATAATGCAAAATATAACCATTAAGTGTTCTATGTTTGTGAATGTTACATTGTCGAACAGTGTTTTTATAAAAGTGTCATTATTGTGATTTATTTTTGTTTCATAATAAAAATGAAGGAAGTTTTTTTTAATGTTAAGAAGGAACTTGTGTAAGGAAGAATATGAATTTAAAGGATTAAATTCACAAAAGTATTTTAAAGTTTCTCATAAATATATTACTCTGTTAAGTGGATAATAAGTTTAATTGTTCTAAAATATTTCTGTGCTATATTTATGTGATTTCATGAGAAGTGTTAATTTTAGAATAAATTTTATGGAGCATAAATCAAATCAAAAGTATATAAATATTCTTTAAGCAATTTTAAAGTACTGAATTCTCGTAGAAAGTTAATTTCTGAATTTAAAATAATTAAGTGCTTTGGGTATAAAGTTCCAAAAAAAAAATATGTTTCATCTTGTTACTTTAAAGTTAATTTTTATAGATATGAATAAATATGCATAGAATATTTTAATTGAAATAGTGCAGTCTGTTCATAAATTAATCTAATTGCCTTAAAAATATTATGAAACTTGAAAGTGATGAAAAATTTGTTCATAAGGTGTCTTCAAATATTTAAAACAATAAGTGCACTTACATATGTTACTTTATTTGAAGAAGAGAAAGATTTACTTGTGTTGCTACTGCATTAATTTTTGGTTTCCTAATTTTTCTGCATTATTAGAGCCCTTAGGAGCATATTGTGAAAGAAATTTTTTCCTTGTAATTAGCATAAGGATATTTTATATTATTCAAAGCAGTCTATCTCCATTAATTTATATTTATGCTACTTGTAGTTCTAGCTTCCGAATTTAATCAAGAACTTATTGAAATTATTTAAAGATAACTTGCTCAGAATGAGTTTGGTATAGGGTACATATATAGATGACTAAATACAATTTTTTTATTAATGGCAGTATGATGTCTAGTATTTTGTTTTAAAAATCTATTGTGTTTTTTTTTTCTATTTTTTAATTTCTGCATAATTTTTTAAATGAGAATATTCTGAAGATTCTGGAGAAGTACAGAAGGTAAAAAAATATCATTTGTGTTGAAATTGATATCAAAATACATAATATGTATCTTATATTGATTCATGCATTATGTTATGTTATTTTAGTTTCTTAAATGTATATCGTACATTATTAGATGCTTATTAATACTATTTTAAGAAACTGTTTTGAGTAAGAGAGTATCAGTTGAGTTATGGGCTTTTCCAAAAGTCCTTTTCAGCATATTTTTTGAGATTACTGTAGAAAGTGTATAAATATTTACTTAAATATTAAAATATGTTGTTGAAAATGAGTTTTTTTCTTCCTCTCTTGAACCGGGGGGGGCAGCTGCCTTAGAAATATAGGTATCGAAATGTCATTTGTTGCTAAAAAACTGGTATTGGTGGTTAATGATTGTGCAAAACCTTTTGGTC